TGCTGCTCTCTGTACTGTAACAGTGTCATTTATCAGGAATCAACTGCTCCTTTAAAATACAGTTCTTGTTACAGATCAATGGAGAATGTGCTGTAGACGGTTCTATATATATCCTTTTTGAAAGGGTTCTATATAGCATCAAAAAGGGTTCTTCTGTTGTAACAAGCTTGACATTGTAATGATAGAAGAACATTTTTTGGTGCTATATAGAACCATTTTCAAAAAGATTCTATGTAGAACCATCTACAGCACATTCTCCATTAATCTAAGGAACTCTTTCATGACGCAAAGAACCCTTTAATCATGCGAAGGGTTCTTTGAGGGTTCGTGGTTCTATATAGAACCATTTTCTTTACTAAAGAACCCTCAAAGAACCATCATTTTTAAGCATGTACTGAAGACTTCTGCTCAGTACTGTATATGGCTATACAGCTCGATACATAAATAGAAAGATTCTGCCTGTTTTGCAAGAGGAGAAATATGTTGCAAGAGGGAAACTTTCACGGTTCTGCATTTGCAGCATTGCTGTTATTTCTCACTGTATGTCTGAGTGGCAGCAGCCAGAGGTTTAGATTTAGGTGCTGTGGTTAGCCATTAGCCATTAGCCCTTTCAGACTGGTTTTGGCCTTACTATTGCTGTGTCCTCAGTAGACGTGTGGACTGTGAACTGCTATTGGCAATGAAATACTGTATAACATATAGTTTAACCCTTATTGAGCAGTGTTCATAAGGCTACATGACACCTACACACTTACAAAAAGATGGTTCTTCAAGGGTTCTTTAGTAAAGAAAATGGTTCTATTTGGATCCATGACTTATATATAGTTTCTCAGATTGACCAAGAATGTGTTGCGTAAGGTTCTACATAGAACCCTTTCGAAAATGGTCATTATTGGTTATTGGTTAATGGTTATTCTATTTTTATGATATCAAGCTTGTAACAGTAGAAGAACCCTTTTTGGTGCTGCACAGAACCATTCCACCATGCAAAGGACCATTTAAGCATCCAAATAGTTCTATACACTACACATGGTTCTTCAAAGTTTCTTTAGTAAGGAAAATGGTTCTACATAGAACCATGAACACTTTGCATCATTAAAGTGTTCTTCAGATTGATGGTGAATGTGTTTTGTATGGTTCTATATAGAACCTTTTTGAAAAGGGTTCTGTATAGCACCATAAAGTGTTCTTATATTGTTACAGGCTTGACATCGTAACAATACAGGAACCCTTTTTGATGCTGTATAGAACCATTTCACCATGCAAAGGACCATTTAAGCATCCAAATAGTTCTACACACTTATGTAAATTATGGTTCTTCAAAGGTTCCTTAGTAAAGTAAATGGTTCTATATAGTACCATGTACACTTTGCATGATTAAAGGGTTCTTTGCATAGTTAAAAGCAAGTCAAAAGCATAGTTGCATAGTTAAAAGGGTTCTTTTACTGTTACAGGCTTGAACCCTTTTGGTGCTATTTAGAACCCTTTTCAAAAAGTTTCTATATAGAACCAATGATACAAAATAATGCAACGAAGCCTTTAATCATGCAGAGTCTTCATGGTTCTAGACAGAACCACTGTCTTTACTAAAGAACCCTTGAAGAACCATCTTTTTTCAGTGTGTACAAAAAGTTGTCATGACAACTGATAAACCTATACAAACCTTTATAAAGGCTTATCCTGAAGCACGTCATTTGTCTTAAAGGTTGAATTTGCAGACTTGATATCAAGTGGGTAGAACACCTAGCACTGAGTGACCCTGATTTTGTCGGACGTTGGGTTGTCAGGACACTTTTATAGGGTGAAATGATGAAGAGCACATTATAACATCTGACCTGACATCAGTGACGTAAAGCTGATTCATTTCACCTACAGGCCTCAGAACACGCTCACTTCTGTTTGACCAGCAAGCTGCCCTACTATCAGCCTAATATCATATTGGAGTAGGTGTTATAAACGTGTTCAGCGTTTATAACTGTGTATGTAGGTCTGTGTCAGTTGTTATAAAGACCTTATGTAGGTGTCATGAAGCTGCATTGTTTGCACTTTGCTCCGGCTGCACAGTCGAGTGTTCTCTGCTCGCTGTTTTGGTGACAATATCATCTTCAGTCCCACATGAAACAATACGCTACGCTGCGCTCTGGCTTCTGAAACCAGAACACGTCTGCAACTTCCTGGAGCTGCAGACTCACTCTGCCCGAAGGTTTTCACGATTTTGAGGGAGTGGAAACATTAGTGGAAACAGTTTAGAATATTTCGTCTGGACCGTAAACGTCTCTGATACGTTTTAAAGGTCTGGGGCTCATCAGGGTCCCTCTCTGGGCGTGAGAGAGTGCATAGCTGTGAGATGTGTGTAACGAGTGTGAAGAGGAGTGAGAACTGCAGCTCGCCTGTTTTAGCAGCACTTACCGCAACAATCTCTCTCTCTCTCTCTCTCTCTCTCTCTGTGTGTGTGCGCTCTCTGCCACTGTTTCTCTCTCTCTCTCTATTGTTCTCTCTCTCTCTGAATGCATTTTGTTCCCTCTCTGTCTTTCTCTGTCTGTTTCTGTGTCTCTTTGTGTCTCTCTCTGTCTCTCTTTGTGTGTCTCTCACTCTGTCTCTCTCTCTCTCTCTCTTAGTTTCACTGCACTCTTCTATTCACACTAACACAGCATGTATTGTTTAACTGAGTGTTGCACTAAAAGCTGGTTCACTTCAATAGCAGGTGAACTCTGTTGGACAGATGAATGAAGTTCGCCTTTCTTGGATCTCAGAATGATCTTTGTGGGAAATCCATTCAATTCATCTCTGTAGAGTGAATCTGTTTATACACCCGTGCTGAACAACACGACACACTTTCTGTCTGTTTTAGCACATTTTGAATGTGTTGCTCTCTGTTAGATGTGCAGGTGTGCGTTGTTGAGTAAACAGTGGCTACGTTCACACAGCAGGTAAAAGCGGCCCAAATTCGGTTTTCTCGCCAAATCCGATTTTTTTGTCAGGCTTGTTTTTAAATGTGATCATATGCGAAAAGGGCGTGACTTATAGAGTGACTTATAGTGCTTATAGACTGTTCTTTGACACTGCAGCCACGCTCTCCTGCAGCCGGGTTCGGCCATTTCTTTCAAAACCTCTTCAAAGTGCCGTGTAATTTTTTAGTACAGAAACATCAGCCTAATGTTAATGAGGTCTCAGCAGTGCAAAATTAGGACGAATGTGGAGTTGGATTGGCATAAAAGTCGCATGAATTCCGATCTGGCTGTTCAGACTGAGTTGTACGGCAGCGTATCAGATGCATATCGGATTTCAGTACCACATATGAAAGCGTCTCAAATCGGAATTGAAAAAGTCAGATCACATCTGTGTCACACATAAAGAAAAGGCTCAGATTTGCCAGTGTGCCCCTCCTGATCTGTGTTGCAGATTCGAATCGGTTACCTAAACGAGTGTGAACCATCGCATCACAGAGATTGGATTTGAGCAAAGATTGGGATTTGAGCAACGAGGCTTGTCATGTGACTGTAGCCTGATTGTTTTCAGAATAGTGTCTCAATATGTGTCTTGCTATGTTCGTCTCCTCAGCTGTCTGCTTTCACAGGCCTGAATATTGATCTGTTTATATGATTATTTTCTATTGTATATCATTTCTATAAAGTTCGGATGCCTGACTGTTTTTCAACTTCTTAAAGATGTTGTAATCTTAAGGCTTAGAAAACATTTCAAGTTTGATTCTCAGAGAAATACAAATATTGAACATGAAAACCCATGTATGGGTTTATGTCCAAATCAAAACAGTAAATATTAAACAATATTTTGTAACACTTTACCTGCACCCCTCCATAAACATGTCAGTACAGATGTCGTATGCTATTACGCGTTGTCACGACTTTTAAGTCCAGTATTATAACAGTCCTGGATTAAGTCCAGTATTATAACAGTGTTACGTTACCATTAACAGTAATTGCTATGGGAGATGGGATAATGTTTGATATCATAATTACAGTATGCTTTTGCAAACATTAGCATGTGAGATAAGCTGTAATGACATCAACATACAGCATTGTGACAATGCTGGTAATGGTAACATGACTGTTATATTAATGACTATAATTTTTAATGACAACTCATGATGACATATGGCAGTATTATATCAATGTTATGTGGCAGCACTCAAGTACAGTGTTACTCATTATTTTTAAAACAAGATATTTTTATTTAATGCTTTGATTAAATATAGAGTTGAAACCAAATATCTTTCTATGTGTTTCATCCTGATCACTATTTGTTTCTAATTAGTGGAATATCTGTCTTTATTAATGCATTTCAACCAATCAGCGGTGTTGTGAGTGAGAAGGGCTAGAGTCTAGATAGCCCTCTTTGGTTGAAAGACAGTATTTCTCACTGAAATCATTCCACATGGACTATTTCAGAGTTTGGATATCATTATTGAAATTCTGTAATTACAAATAGAAGCAGAGTCTGATGCCACTTTAAAAAATGTACTATAAAATGTAAAATAATGTACTGACTGCGAAGTTGCCAGCAAGGTACTGTATATTTTATAAATAATCATAGAGCATATAACAGTAAAGTGCTGTAAAAGTAGTAACCTTTACAGTATTTTACTGTATATTTGTTTTACAATTATTTACTGTAAATTCTGGCAACTACATTGGGAGTAAAGTACTGTAAATTGCATTGTCTGGTATGTTAATGTAAAGCAAAGCAACACTCTAAATGTCCAGTCTTTTACAGTAAGATCCTGTAAAATAACAAAACAGTATCATACCTTAACTATAGATTCTGTAAATTTACATCATTTTTAAGTGTGGACTCACTCATTTATATACATTTTGCCACATTTTTAAAATCTTTTTGAGACTCTTTTGATCTTTTCTTTTAAGGATTTGTAGTTTATCATTTGCAGTGTTTTAAAATCTTTTGAAGGCTCTACATATTTTGTTGATGTTCAGTGTATATTACAGTATACGCTCTAACATGGCTGTTTTATTGTGTTGCAGTGGGAAAAACTGAAGCCACAGATGGAGGTGGAGCCCAAGGCCTCGGTAAGCTTGAGCTCCAGCTGGACCCCCCGTTGTTTTTTAAAGTGTCGTAATATTCATGTGAAGATCTCACGCGTGTGTTCTTTCATAGGGGTGGCCTTTCTTATCATCATCTTGATCATCGTCATCGCTCTTGCTGTCATTCTGTACATTCTTTGGAAGAAAGGAAGGGTAAGAAAACACCTCTCCCAAGAAAAGAAAGGCAGAACACATCATATAGTATATATTTTAGTAAAAAAACAGCATTTTCCACACATTCGCACCGTTCTACCAGCTGAAATGGAAACATTTCACTTTCATATTTTCCAGTGATGATTAAAATTTTCTGCATAATTCTGTCACTGGGTTGTAAACAGAGTCATTCAGAGTGGTTTGGTGTGCAGTGGTTGATTGTAGAGACTCAGATTTCTTTACAGTGGTGGTGATAGGAACCAGGAGTCGCACAGATGTAATATAACACAAAATAGACATTTTATTTAAGCAAAAGTAAAGCAAATGAGTTTTTATATGTAATGCTGATGATTGTAAAATAGTGATAAATCTTTTTCTTCAAGGGCTTTTTGCTTTTAGAACCATTAAACTCCTCAGACGTCTGGTTCCTTTTACCACCACTGACTCTGTCAGTTTCTCTAGAATTAGCCATTTCACATCAAACCACTCTGAATGATGTTTATGACACTTAACTATGCTTCAGCCAGTAGGGGGTGCACTGCAAATCTTTGATAAACATACATATACCTCTGCATTTTTATAGTCAGCGTGTTTGTCATATAAGCTTTTGTCCTCTACTACAAGCGAGGTGAGTTCCCCCACCATCCTGACGCACATTTGTTTGAGCTGTAACCATAACAACAGAGCTCTGACTGGTCAGCCTGAATGTTAATGCACCCATTTATCAGTCTACTCAGGCTTTAGCAGGAACTTCAGAGTTTGCAAAGCAGCCATTAAGTGAGGTCCTCTCTGGAATTCATCCAAAGAGCATGTTGTACACCGATTCACAGAAAATTGCAGTCCACAGCATCGCAGTCTGTCAGTTTCAGACTCAATATTCACTAATGCACTGCACTGCACTAATATACATGTTTTTGTTTTCAAAACTTGATGTGCATTTTTTCCGTACGTAAAAATCAGACTTCAGAATAGGCCTTGAGTGGCATTCTGCATGTTTTTGGTTGAAGGTATTGATATATTTTATTACATTTTTAAAAGTGAAGGCTCCAAAAATGGTTCTTGGGGGCAATGCTACAGGAGAACCAGTTATGGTTCCTTAAAGACCCCTTCAACCAATGGTTCTTTAAAGAACTGTTTTGTAAATGAGATGTTCCATGTGAAGTTTTTAAAGTTCTCATAGTGTAAATGTTATTTTTCTAACTTTTCATAGGACCATACATCCTTTCCAAGACCCATTTAGGAACCTTTATTTTTTAAACAGCACTAAACACCAAAGCCAGCTATAATCATACTGTTCAGTGAGTTACTCTACGGCCAACTATGGACACTCATATAAACAGTAATGCTCTTTACTTCAGTTAGGCTAAGAGAACGTTTCTTTGAAAATGGGCAGATAGGTGTGAGACATGTGGTCACACGAGCGCTCAGCACTTACCATGACCGGCGCCACACTTGTGATGACCTCCTGTGTGCACACTGAAAAACGCATGCACTGGATATAAATTATATTACAGGCACAGAACGACAATATATTCCATCAATACAGTTCTGCCTTTCACTTTACTTCCTTTTAGCAGTGATTATACTGATGTAGTATAATTTATTCATTTGAGTCGAGTTGATTCAGTGAGTGTAGTCAGTGCTGCTGTGGTAACAGTGGAACCAAAGCATTTGTAATGACTGACTGTTTTGTGTCTGTGTGTCCAGAGCTACTCCTTTGATCTGACCAACACGGGCAATGACCACGACACCCCGCTCCGGAGTATGGAACACGGGGGGACCTTCGAACAAACCAGCAAAGGTACGAACAGTTCTGTACTTCAGATTATAATCAGAAAGGACATTGTTCTTCTTTTTAAAGTTATTATTGTTATTTAGTCTGGAGATGCTAAATAGGTGACCTAAGCTTACCCAGTGAAATTTAAATGTGAATTGTTCTCATCTTTATTGGAAATGAAAAGGCCCATATCCTACATTTTTCTTGTGTTTTATTCTAAAGTAATAAACAGTTAATATACACTAAACACTAAATATAATGTAATTTCTCTGTAAAGTGTAACATGATATTGCAATAATATGTATCGTATACAGGATAATCTACAGCAAACATACAAAGACAGTTAAGACTTTGTTAAGAGAATATTTCAGAACTTATTAAGGTGTTTGTTTTTTTTACCAGAATTGCATTTAAGAATATTCTGTAACACTTCCTATGAGGCCCATATTGATAAACAGCAACAAATGTACTTATATCTGTTTGTAACTTGTTAACAACAGTTTGTGAGGATACTTATAAACTATAAATAATGCCTCATAAGGCTGTAATAATCTGCTATAGTTAATTCTTTACTCACTTACAAGCATGTTGTAACACAAGTGTCAGTATTATTTTAATGCATTTTAAACTCTAAATATATACATAACACATATTTATATAGCACATATAGTGCATATGAACAATTATAAAACCATTATGGATATTAAAAATGGCATCACTGAGTGCCTCAATTAAAGTGACTGATATCATAGTTTACTTACATTTGAATGTTAAATTATGTACTTTATATATAACATATCTTTTAACATTCAAATGTGAATAACCTACAATAACAGTCACTTTACTTGAAGTACTTAGTGATGTCATTTGTAATATTCATAATGATTTTATAATTGTTAATTGTTAAACAGACTAGAATGCAGACTAGAATGCATTAGATTACTAGATTACGTTATCTGTAAATGTACTATAATGAATACTGACATTTGTGTTATTAGAGCCTTATGAAGCATTAGTTATAAATATGCCTACAAACGATAGTTACCACATCACTAAAAGCACATTTATAATGTTACCGAATATTCTTATGAACTCCTTAGTGTTTGTCTTAAGATCCTTTGTTGTGTATTTTGGTCAAAACTGAGAAACAGAGTGCACTGCAGTGTCTCTTTAGGTTGAATGTTTATTAATGCTTCTCACAATATTAGCTACTAAAGATCTGGATTCTGAGTCTGAGCATGTAACAGGTCTGATTGTAGTGGGTCAGTGTGTTGGAAGTCTACCTCCTGACTTGCCCATCTGTGCTGATTGACAGAACTGTCTGCTGCAGAGTGCGATCAAGAGGAAAAAACCCACGAGACCAACTCTACAGCCAACGGGTGTGCAGGAGAGACGCCTAAACAAGCAGCATCCTCTGGTAATGGCACATAGCGCTGATTTACATGATCGGTAGATCTGATCCATTCATCTGATCTATAAAACTGTAGTGTGTTGATTGACCCAAACTTACCTTCAACTTACAACATTTTATGATACCCCCAGACTACCTGAAGATTATGTGTGAATGACTGTATTCAGTTCAAAGCCTGTTCTCTTAAGCAGGTCTCACGTTTCTCTTTAGCCTCGGCTGGACTTGGATTTTTGAGTGACGGTTCTCTCCTCTGCCTTTCTGTCCTTCAGAGCGGCAGAACGTTCCTGAAGAAGACAGCTTCATGTCCGACACCAGTCTGACTCCGCCCATGAAAAAGGTGGAGTTTAATCTGGATCTGGACCTGATAAGTGGAGAACCTGAACCTGAAGCTGAACCTAACGACTCACAGCAAAATGAAAACAACAACAACTTCACAAGCACTGGTCAGTATAACCCAGAAGGCTACTTCTGCATGCATATAGATTTGATAGGACTATGATGATTGAATGAAATCATACACTGCATGTGTTCTAAAATACTTCAAGTCAGAGATCTTATATGCAGACCTTCAGTCCAGGTTGGAGATCTTTAAATATGGACCTTCAGTCTTTTGTAATCACTGATAGTTAACGGACCTGCTAATGTAACTAATTAGCCATTTAATGTCTCACATACCAGTGGTTACAAACACTACTATAAATGATTCAATATCTTCAAAAAATATGTAGTAATTGCTATGAGTAAGAATACTGAGATGAATAACTGATCACATTGATTTATCAGTCTACTCAGGCTTTAGCAGAGCTCAGTAACACTGAGATTAATAACTGATCACATTGATTTATCAGTCTACTCAGGCTTTAGTAGAGCTCAGTAACACTGAGATTAACAACTGATCATCACATTGATTTATCAGTCTACTCAGGCTTTAGCAGAGCTCAGTAACACTGAGATTAATAACTGATCATCACATTGATTTATCAGTCTACTCAGGCTTTAGCAGAGCTCAGTAACACTGAGATTAACAACTGATCATCACATTGATTTATCAGTCTACTCAGGCTTTAGCAGAGCTCAGTAACACTGAGATTAATAACTGATCATCACATTGATTTATCAGTCTACTCAGGCTTTAGCAGAGCTCAGTAACACTGAGATTAATAACTGATCATCACATTGATTTATCAGTCCACTCAGGCTTTAGCAGAGCTCAGTAACACTGAGATTAATAACTGATCATCATATTGATTTATTAGTCTACTCAGGCTTTAGCAGAGCTCAGTAACACTGAGATTAATAACTGATCATCACATTGATTTATCAGTCTACTCAGGCTTTAGCAGAGCTCAGTAACACTGAGATTAATAACTGATCATCACATTGATTTATCAGTCTACTCAGGCTTTAGCAGAGCTCAGTAACACTGAGATTAATAACTGATCATCACATTGATTTATCAGTCTACTCAGGCTTTAGCAGAGCTCAGTAACACTGAGATTAATAACTGATCATCATATTGATTTATCAGTCTACTCAGGCTTTAGCAGAGCTCAGTAACACTGAGATTAATAACTGATCATATTGATTTATTAGTCTACTTAGGCTTTAGCAGAAACTTTAGAGTTTGTAAAGAAGCCATTAATTGAGGTCCCCTAAAATTCATCCAACGAACGTTTGCTACATTGTGCATTGATTCTGAAATAGTCCATAAACAAGGACTCATGGTTTCTTTGAATACTGTGTATTTTTTTTATTTAGTATGTAAATAGTCTAAAAGTATTATCCTAAAAATGTAAAAAGTAACTGTATTCTGAATACTGCATTTACAAACTGTAACTTGGACTGAATACAGATATATAATGTTTGTGCTTTGAATACATATTCTCAATACTCATAATTCATTACATCCCAGCCCTGGCCTCAAAAATGTATATTTATTGATCCTTTGGATGGGTTATGTGAGGGGTTCTTATAAAAATGAGTTAATGTATGGGTTTGTGTGTTTCAGGAATTGATTCTTTGGACCTCTTCACTGAAATTAACCTGGATGAGCCACAGTAACAAGACCATAATCCATTATGAAACTCCATGAAGACTTTGTCATTTTCTCAGCAGATCACCGGAATGATACCACACATTTTGTACATTCTTAAGTATAGCCTATACATACACAAAGCATCACCATGTCATTTTTATTAGTACAATTCTTTTTCTTGTTTTTTATTTGCATGAAAAAATGTAAAAATTGTAAAAATGCGTTTTTTTTTATCTACTGTTTTTTTATTTACGTTTTATAAAAATGTGTGAACCTAATAAACAATAAACTTTATATCGTGTGTGTATATTGTTTTTTTCTGAATCTATGGTCTGAATGAAAGTTAATGACAGTAAATGAGGGTGCAAGACAAATTGACACGTCACTAACAACTGCCTAGGAATTCCATTACCCTCCCTCCATTGCTCAAACATTTGTTCAGCAGGACAGAAGGATACAGTACTTAAAGACTCTCTTTACCAGCAGAATTTAGAGACAAGGGTAAGAGCACAGAGGAAGATGTCTCTAAATGGGAGACCATCTTTCTATAATCTATCCATGGAGCAGATTAGTTTTATCGCTTTTATGATCTCTCTCTGTTTTTTCTCTGCGGATGGCACATACTGGGACTCGGTTTATCACTATCAGCAAAGGCCAAGACCTGATCCTGCATCTATTATACAAGCCAACAATGAGATTGTAGTACAACGTGGATGTTCAGTGATGGTGGACCCCTTGAACCACCTTGTTACAAGGCTTCAGCCTAGGGATCGCTGCTATTTCACAGTCCTGGACCATGAACCACTAGCAAAGAGATACGGGACACTCTCCCCTAAGAAATTCCCATGTTCCTTCAGGAAAGGAGAAGTGGAATATTTGCATTTTGGCTCTCAGAGCGGTGGAACGGACTGTGTCAGGCTCCAGCTGAGGTACGACACTCAAACGGACACTGTTGTTCTCCCTCTCACCTTGCGAGTCCTTGTGATCCCAAATGAACAAAAGCTGGTGACGCTAAATCAACCCTTAGTAGTGGATAAACGGAATGGCTATAGTAATCTGATTAATTCTCAAGCGCTTGAAATCAGTCAAGGTGCCTCAAAATGCATGCTTACACCCCTTATAGGGACAGGTGGATACCCGAGGTATGGCTCACTTCTGAATTACTTTCCTAGCTCACAACCAGTTGATTGTAATGCTTTCCTAAACCTTGGCGTGCGCTATAAACTCAACTCTATTACAGGGTCACCGAAAATAGATTATGTACCTTTCAGGGTGGAAAAGCTTGACAGACAGGACAGGAAGCTACGGCAAGAGCACTTTCAGCTCAAAGTGGTCATTGATGGTACAACAATAAACAGCGCCCCAAAGCCAAGCTTCATCTCACTGATGATGATGGAAGTTAGTCAGTTTGTAATGACCGCCATTACCAATGATATGCTAGCAGCCGAGGACCTAGATTCTGACCCAGATGCTCTGATTTTCAATGTGGTCTCTCCTCCGGAACAAGGTATTATTATTAGTACAGACAATCCGAGCCAGCCTGTTAGCTCTTTTTACCAGAGGGACCTAAGGGATCTTAAAATTGCTTTCAAGCCTCCAGCAGAGGACTCAGATTCAGAGAGAATTCTCCATGCTGAGTTTGTGCTTGTTGATCAAGAAGGTTCCACTTCAGAACACTTCTCTTTTATGATTGTGGTGAAGCCCATGAATACACTAGCTCCACTTGTGACATTGAATGCTGGTCAGCTTCTGTTTGAGGGCCAATCCAGACCACTATCAAGCAGACTGAACCTGCGCATTAGCGATGAAGACAACCTTGCAGATGTCAGGATATCTGTCGCGCATGGTTTGCGATATGGAAGACTCACGGTTCTTGGTTCACAGCGGAAATTTTTCACTCCAGATGATTTAGATACTGGCGTGGTTGTGTATGAGCATGACGGTAGTGAGACTTGCAGTGACAACATTGTTTTCCGCATGACAGATGGGAAGAATGAAGTTGAGTTCTTGTTCCCAGTGACTATAGTCCCACAAGATGATGAGCCTCCAGTGGTTAATGTTAACACTGGGCTGGTTGTTGTAAAAGGAGAGGTGAAACAGATTTTACCAGTGGTTCTGAGTGCAACAGATGTGGACTCTGAAGACAAACACCTGAAATTCACCTTAGTTCCTCCGTACTCCTCACTGGGGCAAGTACTTCTAAGACAAACTCAAAGTCCTGCAGACATTTCTTCTTGGAGATTCAGTGAAACTGACCGTGTGTTTGAGAGAGCGACAGTTGAGTGGTACCTCAGTGACATTGTAGAGGGAAAGCTCTTTTATCGACACATTGGACCAGCCCTGACATCCACAATTACAGACCAGTTTACCTTCCGAGTGCAAGATGACAACGAACCCCCAAACCAATCAGGAGAGCATATCTTCTACATCAAGGTCAATCCCATTGATGATCTGGCTCCAGAGCTGTTTCCAGGAACCACCTTAAAAGTCACTGTTCGGGAATACGAAACAACTATCCTCAACAAGAACATGCTGCACTTCACTGACCTCGTGTCTGTTGACAAGGACCTCCGATATATTATCATCTTTCCTACTATAAACCAAGACTTAAATAATCCTACATTACTAGGTCACTTTGTTTTGACAGACAGCCCAAATACCATAATTACAGAATTTACACAAGCACAAATAAACTATGGCAAAGTGTCTTATAAGCCACCCAATCAGGAAATTGGACTTATACCAAGAGAGATACAATTCACCTTTACAGTTAAAGATGCTGCTGGAAACTTGGCCAATGGCCACTTCACCATCTTGCTCCAGCCTGTGAACAATAAACCCCCACAAATCACAAACACTGGGTTTACTGTGGTGAGTAAGAGCAACTATATCATTACCAAAGATGTACTTGATGTTACAGACCAGGATACAGTTTCTGAGAATATTACATTTACAGTGACTCAGCTACCAAACAGTGGAGTGCTTAAATGCTTGGGAAATGTTCTCACAGTTGGGAAAATCTTTAAGATCGGAGATTTAGAGAGAGGTCTGCTTGTTTATGTGCACAATGGAGGTGGTGAATCGCTACATGATAACTTTAAGGTGGATGTTAGCGATGGCTTCCACAATGTACCTATCACTGTTAAAGTCAACATAAGTCCTGTCAACGCTGTTATCCCAGTGGTCACTCTACATCCAGGAACATTAGACATAACCATGGAGGTACCTGAGAATGGCAAAGCTAAAATTAAATATAACAGAACTGAAGACAACAGGCAAAACACTGATGGTGTTACTCTCACAGTGGAACCCATCCCAAGATTTGGGGTGATCCAGGTAAATGGGATACTGTCAAGCATATTTACACTCAAAAACTTGATAAATGGTACAGTAACCTATGTACATACTGCTGGGGAGGTGGGACCAGCCATGAAGCAGGACTCTTTTAGTCTTAACATCTCTGGAAAGTGGATTGTGAATGGCAGCATAATTCAAAAGGTCACGGTTCATGTTTCAGTCCTTCCGGTGGACAACAGTCCTCCAGTCATCCATGTCGGGGAGCAGTTCACTGTGGAAGAAGGAGGTAAAAATATCATTCGAGTGGACAATATACAAGCTAGGGACCTGGATACGATAGTTGATGAGATACTGTGCACTATCCTGGTACAACCATCTTTTGGCTTCATTGAAAATGTGTCTCCTGCCCCTGGTTATGAGAAGTCAAGATCTGGTATTGCAGTTACTGCATTCAGTATTAAAAATGTTCAACTTGGACATATTTACTATATTCAGAGTGTTCACAGAGGAACCGAGCCAGTTGAGGATAGGTTTACCTTTCAGTGCACAGATGGGATTAACTTGTCTGACCGACACATTTTCCCAATTGTTATTATCCCAACAAATGATGAAGAACCTGTCATATTCTCCAGGGAGTTTGTGGTAATGGAGGGTATGAGTTTGGCAATTGACATTCCCATTCTTAATGTGCAAGACCTTGACGTTCCAAAAAATAGCCTGCAATTTGAGATCATTACCAGTCCAAAGCATGGGAGGATTGTCCAGCATCTACCAACTAGAACAGAGGTGATTGTTAACTTCACGCTGGAACAAATCCAGACAGTTTCAACAATCATGTATGAGCATGATGGCTCGGAGACAACGAACGACACTTTCACTGTTCGACTCACTGATGGGAAATATGTAGTTGAAAAGCAAATCGTGGTTTTAATTCTTCCTGTGGATGACGAGACCCCAAGGTTATCTGTGAACAATGGACTGGAGGTTGAGATTGGAGAGACTAAAATAATTACAAACAGATCTCTCAAGGCTACAGACCTCGACTCACTGGACTCAAATCTCACTTTTATCATTAGACAAGGTCCAGCTCAGGGCCTCTTGCAGCACCTCGGCAAATCCCAGAACACAGTTTTCAATTTGACCATTGGAATGAACTTCACACAGGATGATGTTGATAAAGCACTCATTCAGTATGTTCACACAGGGCAAGGAGGCATTCGAGACCTCATAAAATTTGATGTCACTGATGGCATTAACCCACTAGTGGACAGATACTTCTACATCACTGTCAGCGCAATGGATAAGGCGTACCCAGTGGTGATTAACAAAGGTGTGGCACTACCAGAAGGAGGGTCCGTGATCCTGACAACAGATATCCTCAGTACATCAGACATCAACAGTCCTGACGAACGCCTGCGCTTCACCATTACACGCCCTCCATCCCGAGGACGTCTTGAGTGCACAGACTACCCTGGTGTTCTTATCTCTTCCTTCACCCAACTCCAGCTAGCTGGGAGTAAGATCTGCTACGTTCACACCTCTCTAGAGGAAGCGCGTTTGGATAGCTTTGAATTCCAGGTCACAGATGGTTGGAACGTGGTGTTCCGAACGTTCCGTGTATCGATCACAGACATGGATAATAAGTTACCTGTTCTGAGCATTCATACACTTATCTTGGGGCAAGGAAAAGAACGATTGATCACACCTTTTGAGCTCAGTGTGGAGGATCAGGACACGGCCGATCACCTTCTGCATTTCATTATCACACAAGGCCCTGTACATGGTAAAATACTCTACAACAGCACACGCTTTGTTACTACCTTCACCAAAGAGGACCTCTGTAAGAACCTCATTACGTACAAGCATGATGGAACAAACCATGGTGATGACTCTATCATGTTCACAGTCACTGATGGAACCAACTCAGGGTTTTATGTGTTCCCTAAAACTGAACGTGAAACCATACAGCCTCAGGTTCTGAAGATCCAGGTCCTTTTTGAGGATCAAGGGACTCCAAGACTTGTAGTTAACCGTCCAGCTTTGTCTCTTACTGTGCTGAATACCGGACAGCTCGGCTTCAGGTTCACCAGTAAAGTGCTCAAAACTGTTGAAAGGAGGCAAGGGAAGGACGTTCAGAGTGTGGATCTAATATACAGGTTGACAGAACCTCTGAAATATGGCTTCATCAGACACACTGAGCTGAATAACACCAGTACATTCACTCAAGGTAAAATGATGTGTGGTACTTATTGGCCATACATATTATTCTCTTTTTTTATACTGGATATGGTATTTTAATATAGACAATGCATGTATGTATAAATATTAAAACATATTGTATGTTAATTTTTAAAGAGAAATTCACAGGTTTTTTTTTCAAAACTCCTACATAATTAAATTAAGACATAACCAGAAACATTCAGAATGGTTTGATATGAAATGCTCTGTTCTAGAGAAACTTACAGTCAGAACTGTTCACAGTGGTGGTGATAGGAACCAGACGTCTGAAGCGTTTAATGCCGCTAAAAGCTACATCATAGGAAGGAGATTTAACTTATGAATTTGCAGGTTACAAATGCGTGGCCTGATGCCCGAGGTATGGTTTTATGATACTTTTGAGAAACTTTTGGCTTGTGTACATGCAGGGTGTTGCAAGGCAAAACAGTTCCTAAAGAATTCATTACTATTTTGCCATCATCAACATTACATATAACCTCAAAGGGCAAAGGTAAGTTCACTTGTGGTTTTGGATAGTAAATAAAAAGTCTCTATTTGAGTTGTAGACTTTGTGACCCCTGGTTCTTATCGCCACCACTGTAAAGAACTGTTTCACATCAAACAATGACTTCCTTTGCTGAATTTGCTGATTTAATGTAACATTTGAATCTTGTCCATTAATTTAAAATGCTGCAATACTTACTTATCTTTAAGTTAACTTCATCTTTTTTAACTCTCTAAAGGTGATATCAATGATATGAAGATCTATTACATCCTTCTTGATGGAGTCAATGTCACCACTGACGGTTTCTCCTTTACTGTGGAGGACAAGGGTAAGAAATCTCCACTATAAAAGCCAGTTGCCATGAGGATGAAACAAATTGTATAAAATCTCTGTAAATCTACAATCACAGAAACACCTTTTGTTTCAGCAGTAATTACAATAAATTGAGGAAATAATTTTTGGTTGCACATTTAGTGGATTAGTGGTTTAGTGGATTGATTTGCTGTGTTTTCATCCTTTGGTCCAAGCACATATGATCAGTTAAAGACTGTTAGTGTTTCAGGATTGTTTACACTTGACTGTGCTCTTCCCAAACTTAACCGGATTCTTCTGAACCGACACCTAACTGAGAGCTGCAGTTCACTGAAACTAAGCCAGCTGTGTTTGCAGTCAGTGTGTGTCTGTAATTGGGAGGAAACTGTGAACTCCAGACTGATTAGTCAAGCAATGCCAAAGACAGCTTAAGCACTTCCTCCTTCATTAGAGACAGATTTATGTCATGTTTCCTCCACGTCTCATGTTTCCTCTAGGAGGTTAGCGATTACACTGGGGTCCATGGCGCAGATGGCCTGAGGCACCTCAATCTCCCTTAAATCTTTATTGGTCTCCTCATATAGACACACACGACTCACAGAAAGATCCAGTCTCTTAACAACATACCTCACTTCAGTCACCTCTACGCAGACAGACCTGACGTCTATTTATCTCCTTCTAATTGTCTCAGTGCAAACATGAAACGTTTAGGTTAGCGTTAGATGCTAATCGGCCAACGCTAATTTATTTAAGACATAAAAATAGCAATTAAACAAGCAAATTACTTTGATATTATTCACTTGAAAGTAATTTTCACATGTATGGGTGTTTTTTTTGTATTGGGCCCTTAAGATCCTGGTTACACTTATGGTTCCCTCCAAACTTTAATGTGACCTTACCTTTTTTTAGATTTTTATTCCCACAATTGTCTGTATTACCAACAGAACAATTCAAATTCACAGTGCATTAAAAAATGAATCTTTTTTCCTGAAGTAAAACAAGCATGTCTGTAAGATTTAGCCATGACAACATTTAGGCCCACTGTAAATACATGCTAATATCTGAAACACCACAACACTGATAGTTTGTGTTAATACTTCAATAAATATAGAACTGGAATGCTGTAGTTTTAAACCTCTATGATGAGTCTTTATCAAAATAGTATTGATTTTAAAGTAATAGCCCAAATTGTCCAGACTGCTGCTGGTCATGCGACTTCTGGCTTTAGTTGCTAAGTCAGAGAAGCTGGCCATCGAAATGGTTAATAACATTTCTAAATAAACACTGTGATACATGCAATATATATATTCTATATATTCTACATTTTATGAATGTAATTAAAACGTTCCCAGTTATTTGTTCCACTGAATTTTGAAGAAAAGCTTCTTTCCAGGACAAAGTTTAAATGCTTCATGCTAACTTTAGGACAGTCCCTCCACATTTACACACATGTCACAGACTAAAAAAGTTTAGTAGCTCAAAACTCAGAGTAACAGACAAAAAAGATGTGTTTTTATTGAATAAGATTCACAACATTTTTTAATTATTTAGTCATTTAAATGTCACAATAAAAGTGCAAGAGGGCTTATAGGGTACACAGGTTTATTAGGGGCTTTTCTTTCTTTCTGGATTGGCTTCAGTTTCTAAAAGACTCTCTCAGGATCCTGAGTTTATGACTGATCCAGAAAAATTCAGCTGAAGAATCATCATCTAATAGAGGGATTTTCAGCTCCAGTCCTGAGGGCCCACGTCCCACACAGATTCAACAGCTGAGGAGTTGGATTAGATGGGATAGAGCCGGGACCACCTGAAACTGTTCAGTGGGTCCCCAGCAGTAGATCTGAGGAACTAAGGTCTAATAAAAGCTAAAATACTCAGATCAGACTTGTTGTCTGTTGATTAGAGGGAAAACGTCTGCGTCCACAGCCATTCCTGCTCCACTGGTGCTGGGTGTCCATTGAGAAGAAGGTTTACCGTGTGGAAGAGGAGAGGCAGCTGCTGGAGGTCACTCTGAAGCGCAGAGGATACCTGGGAGAAACCTCATTTGTTAGTGAGTAGCTAACAAATGTTTAGCTAGACTAACTTAAGTATCTAAGTATTCGGTTCTTATGTTGAAAACTGAGTTATTGATAAATTTGCATCTAATTTCTGATCTGTAATTATATCAAAAAGGATGTAAAATGATTCAGTGAGTTTTTACTATTGCAACTCACCATTTTATGCTGGACAAACAGAGTTTAGACCCAGTTAAGTGCAGTTGCTGTGATGCAGTGGAAGTTTTAGACGGCCACAGTGCTGCAAAGTTCAGAGGGTTTTACCCAGTAAAGCTGTTTTCCTCATCAGCTGGTTATTAAGCCTTCATGAGATGATAAGAAATATATTATTATTAATTTTTTAAAGTGAAAGATCACATGACTTTAGTTTAACACCCTTAAGAAAAATTAGAGCGAATCTGGATCCCCACCCATCACTCGCTCTGTCTCTCACTCCTCATCTCTCTCTTTCTCTACCCCCCCACCTCAGCGATCAGTACAGTAGATGGCACTGCTGTACTCGGTCAGGATTTCCATGGCAACGCCCAGCGTCAGGTCCAGTTTAACCCAGGCCAGACCCGGGCCAGTTGGAGGCTGCGTATCCTGGATGACCAGTTGTATGAATCATCAGAGAGTTTCCAGATTGTTCTCTCTGAGCCTGTTCTGACTTTACTGGAGCAGCCGAGTGCCGCAACTGTAGAGATCATCGACCCACAAGACGGTACAAACACCTACACACACGACCTGCACATATAAAACTATGATTTAGCTCATTTATTAAAGGGTTTTTCCACAAAATTGCATCATTGAGAGGAAAACTCACCAAACATTGCAGTGATGGTGATCCAAAGTGACCATCCAAACCCACCAGTGAACCTTCACTTGTCTTCTGAGTGTTTATATGTGATGGTGATGATGGTAAGATAGTGATAAATATGAAAATCTTTTTTTTTTAATTATTTGAGGACTCTTTTTTTCTGTATCATATCCTGCATGTGTTTCTCCACTATAATAAAATAATAACTATAATAAAAAACCTGTCATAAAACATAAATCTCTCAGGAATCAGTCAGTGTGGATTCATAACCATTTCATATAATAACTGTCTGTGAGGGAGCTTTTAGAGGTGGACGTCTGGTTCCTATCACCACCACTGTGGACTGTAAGTTTCTCTACAATTAACCCTTTCACACCAAACTGCTCTGACTCTGTTTACAGCTTAACCAACTAATTAAGCACAAATATATAGAAATTCTTTTATTCTTTCATTTTCAGCTTTAGTTTCATTTCCAATTTCGAAATGACATTCAAATTGAGTAAATGCTGTACTGTGTGTGTGTGTGTGTGTGTGTGTGTGTGTGTGTGTGTGTGTGTGTGTGCAGAGTGTGCAGTATTTTTCTCTCAGTCTGAGCTGAAGGTGGAGGAGGATGTGGGAGAGCTGCTGATTCCAGTTCAACGCCGAGGAGACGTCAGCCAGGAGCTCATGGTTACCTGCTACACCCAGCAAGGTACCACACACATACAGTTCCGTCCAGTACAGTAAAGTTCGGTTCTTACGCTTTGCTCTGGAATTTGTTAATAACAAGCAATGAAGGCTAATAGAGCAATAAATAAATAAAATTCTAAGCAAATTCAGACTCCAATCATATCTTGTCTGATTGACTACACTTGATTTAAAGGGGGAAACTGTGTACATTAGATTATCTGCTGAACTGTTGCTTAATGGTGAATTTGTGTTGTTTGTGTCCTGCTGTTGTCCAGGCAGCGCGAGAGGCACCAGCCTAGGCTCTGTCCTCTCCTTCTCCGATTATATCTCTCGCCCTAAGGGCCGCTTCAGCGTCCTGACGTTCCACAGAGGAGAGAGAGAGAAACTGTGTCGCGTCCTCATCATCGATGACTCACTGTATGAAGGCCAGGAGAGTTTTAACGTCACGCTGGACCAGCCTATGGGCGGACGAGTGAGGGGAGAGCATCAGAGCGTCCGCATCATCATTCTGCCTCACGCTGATGATGGTAAAAGGAGCAAAAAGTGCATCTGTTTATTTGTTAAAGGGTCCATTGATAGATAAGACAGATAGATAAAGGGTCCTGATAGAAAAACAAACATCACTTTCCTGGAATACGAGAGTTTGATGCACAATGTAAACACTGGCTGTTTTAATGTAATATTGGCTCTTTAATTCTACAAAGGTCAGTTCTCATTGGTTGAAAAGTTGTGAAAAGTTGTCTACTCATGTTCTGGCCTAAAACTAGAATTTATTATGTTATTTGATATCAAGTATTATGTAATAATCTCCAGTGCAGCATTACTTCCTTCAGCTTCGTCAGTTTGAAACAATTCAGGATCCCCCGATCTGATTACATGTTTTGTTGATTTTCTAAGTGAAAATAAACTAACATGTTCCTCTAAAGAGAACACACTTCAATATCTTTTATTTTTTATTTCACAGTTTCACAGAGTTTATCGTATTGGACAAAAATAAAACGTATGTGAAATGTGCCATAACTCTTCCACAGGCCACATTTAAGGTTTTATATGTTACATTTAATGTTAAATTCAGAAAGTAAACAGTAAGTGTGCACTAAAATGTGCAGAAGTGGATGTGTTCACTTATTTACACATAGAAAAACAACAACATATGGAATTTTAGCAGGGGTGCACAAACTTTTGCCTACTGGCTAAAAAAAAGTTGACAGTCCTCCCACCTTCGAGATACATCATCAAAAGGGGGGATTTCCTAAACTCAGAAAGTCTCACTCGCGGGGCTGCTGTAGCTCCGCTGTAGGAGGCGAGTAGGCCTGTTTACGGCAGATGAAGCTTTGGTTACATTTCTCTTTCTTTTTTTGGCCCTTTAAATCTCCATTGCTTTGATATTTACCTCCTACTCCATCTGTGTGTGTGTGTGTGTGCGTGTGTGTGTGTGTGTCAGAGCCGTCTGTGTCCTTCAGTGAAGGTGTGTATGCAGTGGAGGAGAGTGCAGGTTCAGTGGAGGTTCAGGTCTGCAGGAGTGGATCTGATCTCTCTCAGCCAGCTTCAGTCACTCTGACGTCAGCCTCAACACAGCCTCCATCTGCTCTGGGTAACTGACCATAACATCTGCATATACACTATATGTCCAGAAGTCTGTAGACCCCTACTCCTCCAGTGTGTCTTCTGAAATCAAGGGTATTAATTGGGAGTTTGTCCCCCTTTGCTTCAGTACCAGCCTCTGCTCCTCTGGGAAGGCTTTACACTAGATGTTGGAACATTGCTGTGAGTATTTGATTGCATTCAGGCACAAGAGCATTAGTGACGCCAGGTACTGATGTTGGATGATCGGTTCTGGATCACTCAGGCTCATCCCAAAGGTGCTGGATGGAGCTCCATCACTCCAGAGAACACAGTTACACTGCTCCACAGCCCAATGCTGTGGGCCTTTATACCATTCTAGCCCACACTTGGCACTCAGCATGATGACCTTAGGCTCATGCAGCTGCTCCAGAGCATCCCATTCGAGTGGTCAATGCTTTTCTATGGAGATTATATGAGCTGTGAAAGCGCAATTGAGCAGCAGTGGGTCACCTTAAAGCAGCTGAAATCCTTAGTTAGAAGGGCAGTCTGGATACTTCTGGTCACATAGTGTACATCCAATATGCGCACATCCATTAAAGGTTATTCATCCGTCCATCCATACATCCATTACATGTTTTCATCCATCACTTTTCACAGTCATGTAACCTGTAACTCACACTGTCCTCAGCTGGCGTGGACTATGTGGCTGTCGGTCGCAGTGTTGACTTTGTGCCTGGCATATCCATGGTAAAAGTGAAGGTCTTCATCCTGGATGACGCTGGCAGTCCTGTGCTGGAAGGGGCGGAGCAGTTTCAGCTGGTTTTAAGTATGCCCATGAATGCCACTCTGGGACAACCAGTCAGAGCCACCGTCACCATTGGTGACTCTCAGAGTGACGGTGAGAGAGTACATCACATAAAACACTAGTTTGGAATACCTTGTCAAATTAATAGTTGTTGTTATTTTATTCAATATTAATTTACACACTGTAGCTTGAAATACTGTAAGCTAAACAACAGAATGTATTACGAGATATTTGATTCAGTATTTCAATGTGTTTGGGAACATCAATAAGTTATTAGATGATAAATGATGTTCTATAATTATCTATTTACAGTCATTTCTTGATAAGTTATCTACTCACCACATTTCAAATGTGAGACGTTTTGGATATTGATTTTATTATGGCTTCATTCTTAATGTTCTACAGTTCTCAGTTAACAGTAACAGTTATCATCTACAGTTTTGTTCATTATTCTGGACACACATAACATTTATGTACATTAATGCCCACTGCTGTCGGAAGAAAACCTCGTATCTCCATTTTTGTCATTTTTCAGTTTTTGACATAATTTAAAAATGCCTGTTGCCCTTTACATTGTATGTAAATTTCATGATGAATGGACCAAAAGAAACGGACCCAAAATTACTTGTAAAGACGTCTGGTTCTATTGACTTACATTGAAAGTGAAGTAAGTTTTTTCCTTCTCCTGTAAAGTTACCATTTTGGAGATATGAGGTTTATATACAGCGATATATATATATATATATATATATATATATATGTGTGTGTGTGTGTGTGTGTGTGTGTGTGTGTGTGTGTTTGTGTGCATGTGTGTGTGGGTATTAGGCCCGTCTCTGCAGTTTGCCCTCTCGGAGTACAGGGTGGATGAGTCAGATGGTCGTGTTGTTGCCATGGTGATCAGATCTGGCGACCTCACCCAAAGGTCACAGGTCAGGTGTTACACACGCCAAATCTCCGCCCAGGCCATGATGGACTATGAGGAGAGACCCGACACCGACCTGTCAATCATTACCTTTCAGCCAGGTGGGATTTTTGATTAAAGGAAAAGTTCAGTAAAAATGCAGTATTCAGTACCTACACTGAAAGCAGTGCAAACTGGCTGAGTTATTCTTAAGTCACTGGACTGAGGAATGTGAGCCTGGACAATTTATAAGGTTAAAGGAACGGGTCAGTGACTAATTAGGTTAGATAAGTCGATCAGCCAAGACATGTTTGGTGTCTGAAGTTTTGAACCGAAGCTACAAGGTTAATGTAGCTAATAAGTAATGGAAGCTTATGGAAATTATCACATCAAACGTTTTCTGTACTACAGGCCACAATGCTGTGTGAGCTGATGTTATGCTAAGTGTGTGGATGCTGGGTTTGCAGGCGAGCGAGAGCAGAGATGTGAGGTCACTCTAGTGGACGACTCGGAGTACGAGGAAGAGGAGGAGTTCCGTCTGGTTCTTGGGATCCCCAGTAGCCAATCAGCAGTGGAGATTTCACTGGGGAAACAGAAGGAGACCATAGTGAAGATTTCGGATCTCAGAGACAGTAAGTTTAACACATAAAACAACCTTTATTTTTATCATATCAGACTTTCTGAGGCACAAATACTGCAGATAAACGCAATTTGTTAGGTCAGTGTGTACCTCAAATATACCTTGTGTGATTTTATGGCGCTACCTGGTGGTGAGGAGAGGAATTACACTGGTAAAAGTACACTGGCTGTACTTCCCCTCATTTCCTTCTCATTTCCTTCTCCACCTTTAGTGCATTAGTGCTGATTCTCTGATCTCATCAGTTTTGTGCACCTTAAATGGCCCATATCTTGCATTTTCTGCTTATTTGCTTATGACATTTGTGTGGGTTTATGTACCATAAACGGTTAAATTCCTTTTCATATGTCCATTTTCCAACCTCTTTTTGTCCCTTAGAATCAAACAGGCTGCTTTTGTTACTTTACCTTTGAGACTGAAATATGTAAATTACTTCTGTTCTGATTGGCCGCCCTGTATTGTGCCTAATTCGAAAAGCAGGGCAGGCTGAAACACTCAATATAACTTCAAAAACAGTGTTTTCCATGAAACGGGCCTTTCAGAGATAAAGTTTACCACAATGGTTCCCTGGACTTTGGTTGGAACTTTTCAAAGTATGGTTCTTTAAAGAACCACATTTGCAAATGATTATGATTAGAGCTTCAGTAAAACTCTGCAGGAGAATCAGCAGGAGCTCATTAGCTCGTTGTACACTGCAGACAGTCTGACCCTTAACATATGTAATAGGTAATAAACATATTATTGTTATTTAGAGCATGATCATGAAATTTTAGCTGACAATTAATTAGCACATAAATGATTGTGATTAACCATTTAATTGCCGCTTTTTGTTCATTATATGCATCTATTAAGTGGCCAGTTTGGATTTTTAGCCATTTTGCTTCGTAACCATGTTTACTAGGTAGCTAAAACTGATATCACTGTGTAACTGGTACATCACACTGTCCCATAAATGTGTGTAGAGTCAAGTAAAGCCTGTATTTCTTCTTGAGAGTGAAAATTTAAGCAAAAAAAAATCTCATTTTGCTAGCATACATGCTAAAAACATTAGAAATGGCCATATAGATATCATATAAACAGACATTACTCTGTCCTAAACATGTTAGAGCACCAAGTAAGAAGTTAGAACTTGTTTTCATAAAGAACTGTAATGTCTCGATTAATGAATTTACTGCTTTTTTTGTTTACATTTATTTGCATTTATTCACATTTTGTTTGTTGCAGCTTAATATTGTTGTGAAATCTAACGACTGCAGTCAGCTTAAATAAATGTGATTAGATGATTATGTAATTATATATATATATATACAAAGCTAGTGCTGCTTCCAAACTTTTGGCCTGTAGTGTTTATTTCATTAAGGAGAGGAGAGTCCATTTAAGAGCACTGAAGACATTTATAAAGAAAACATTATTGAAATCATCTGTCCCTGTTTCTGCAGAGCCTGTTATCCGGTTCTCCGAGACACGCTTCACCGTGAAAGAACCGAAGAGCCCTGGGGAGATGGGGACTGTGCACATTTCAGTACAGCGTCTGGGAGACTCTTCCCGAACCTCCACTGTGAGAGTTCACACTCGGGACGGATCCGCCACGGCTGGAGACGACTACACTCCGGTCTCTGTGGGTGAGTCATGAGAGAGCAGTGGAATCAGCACACTCTCAAAAAAGATGGTTCTTCAAGGGTTCTTTAGCAAAGAAAATGGTTCTATACAGAACCATGAACACTCAAGGAACCCGTTGCATCATGAAAGTGTTCTTAAAATTGATAGAGAATGTGCTGTAGATGGTTCTATATAGAACCTTTTTGATAAGGGTTCTATATAGCACCAAAAAGGGCGCTACGAGCCAAAGTGTTACGAGCCAAAGAACGCTTTTTTGGTACTATACAGAACCCTTTTTGCTAAGAATGTAGCTGAATCAGGATCTGAATCAAAACTAGAGTGAGTAGGTAAATGCACTCTTAAAAATAACAGTTCCTCAATAGTTTTTCCATTTCGTGGAGGTTCTTTAAGATGGTTCCCCACACATTTGGTGCACATCACTCCAAAGAGGCCTTTTTGGCACCTTTGGTGAAGGACGAGTCTTCTGAAGGTGTGAATGATCTACTGTTGTCATCAAATCTCCATCAGTATCATGTTGATTTTGCATTTGAGGCTTAAACAGACGCACCTTCTTTTTGAGCCTGTGTGTGACGTTAATATGCAAAGATGTACGACATGGTCCGAAAAGATCCGCCTCTGACTTTTAAATGATTATTTAAGGCTTTACAGTGTGACTCGCAGCAGCGCACACTCACCATACTTTAGAGTGTTTTTCTCCTGACTCATGCGCTGCTGCATGTCTCATTACAGAGAGAGCATAATTAGTATTTTTGCCTTCTAATTAAAACCTATAGTGCTGTTCATGTGCTGTTAGCAAATAATGTGCTGATCATATATTGTAACAGAGGATGAAGTTCATTTGTACAGAATAAAGAGTTCTGATAGTTACACGTCTGTGGTGTGTGTGGTGTGTGTGTGTGTGTGTGTGTGTGTGTGTGTGTGTGTGTGTGTGTGTGCAGAGCTGCAGTTTTCTGAGGGTCAGACGCTGCATGTCGTAGAGGTGTACGTGCTGTATGACACAGAGAGGGAAACCAGAGAGACTTTCACTGTTCACCTCCGGCCCGACGACAACATGGTGGCTGATGTACAGGTAACACAATGTAAACATGGTTTTAAAATAGGGTTTTTGAAAAATTTAGCTGTACAACAGGTAATATAGTCAACTCTAATATGAATATGATGGCTTTATTGTCTGTGTATATAACACTGTTCACACTCATCAGACTAGGTGAGGTAATATTGTAGACTGCAGTGTTAAAGAGATTTGTTTTTGTGTCTTTAAGACTGCCATCATGTTATAAATGAGTTAATGTTTTTCATGAAATGGTAAAATGTCTCACTTTCAACATCTGATCTGTGTTCTATGTTCTATTGTGAATAAAATATGGGTCTATGAGATTTGCAAATCATTGCATCGCTGCATTCTGTTTTTACATATATTTACAATTTACACAGTGTCTCAACAAAGAGACAGGGTTTTGATGTGGCAGCATAGTCAGAGTTACTGTGGTCATTCATCAGTCAAGCAGTTGGCACTGTATATACACAAATACACATTTTCATGATAGAATCTATATAGAATTCTGCCTTTCTTTCTGATGCATTGTAATCCTGATGCATGTTGATTTTTCAGGATACTCTAAGGATTCTACAGTGGTCACCGACGCTGCTCCTGGACATCTGCCTTTACAGACTTCAGCTCCAACTTTAATCAAACCTCAGCTGAGCTGTCTCATTATTACCTTCAGAGTCCTTAATGAGCTGAATGATGTGTCAGAGTCGTGTTGGAGGTGAAACCTGTAGGAGGGCAGATCTCCAGGAGGAGGGCTGAACTAAAACATCCAGGGTTCTCAGACTAGAGTGTTCAAGCCTCCTTTTAAAACGTTCACAAAACATCTTTTTTCATCAGATGAGTGTAAAAGGGGGCTTAAGTATGTGTTTTTCTGTGTTTGATGTTTGTTACAGAACACTAAAGTGATGGTGTATATAGATGAGGGTGGTCCTGTGGGGGGTCTGACGTTTCCCGCTCCTCCTGAGATCATGAGTCTCCTGGAGTTTGAGACTGACCCTAATCCACACACAGTCCATATACACGCGGACCACCGACCACACCCACCTGCTGGATACCCGCTCGTCTGTCTGACTGTGAGGACACCTTACATCTCACTTCTTCCAATTCACCTAGCCAATCAGATCACAGGAGAGAAAGTTCTACTAGCCAATCACATTTTAAAAGAAAAAATCTACTATAAGAGCTCAAGAGGGAAAACTGCCAATCAGACTGCAGCATTGAACCAGCATTCAACCAGCCACTCAGGTTACAGGATTAAGGCTTGTAGTAGAAAGAAAGAGGAAATTTAATAAGCCAGTCAGAGTGCAGAAGGGAAAATTCAACTAGCCAATCAAACTCCAGGTATGACAGAATGGGAAACTCAACTAGCCAATCTGAAAGGAGAAAATCCAACTAGTCAATCTGAGCACGTGAGGTAAAAGTAAACAAGCCAAACATGCATGACTGTTCAATTAGCCAATCGGATCCCTGAATTCTGAAATCTGAATTATGAAAATATACATACACATAAATGTGAACAGTGACTCTGTATCTGTATGTTTTGTGTGTGTGTGTGTGTGTGTGTTGTGTGTGTGTGTGTATGTGTGTGTGTGTGTGTGTATGTGTGTGCGTGTGTTGTGTGTGTGTATGTGTGTATGCGTGTGTGTATGTGTGTGTGTCTGTATGTTGTGTGTGTTGTGTGTGTGTGTGTCTGTGTGTGTGCAGGCATGTGACCGGCGTCACTCTCAGTTCTCAGCTCTGGAGGCCATATGTGTGTCCGAGGGGCTTAACAGCTCTGTTTCTGAGTTCCGCTGGTTTGTGGGCGGGGCTGAGGCAGATGTGGGGCGGAGTCTGAAGGAGCTGGAGCAAGGTGTGTTCATGGCTCCGGTGCGGGACAGGCTGCTGGACGCAGTGTATTTCGGCTCTGGGTGGAGGGTGCAGTGTGCTGTGAGAGCTGTGGGTCTGAGTGGTCAGAGAGGACTGGAGCAATACAGCACCGTAATACACATCAGCACAGAGGACGGTGAGAAAAACACTCACAGACACAGAACAGGATGTTCAGTCATATATACATATATATATATATATATGTATATATATATATATATATATATATGTGTGTGTGTGTGTGTGTGTGTGTGTGTAATGATGTAATAATTGTATGGCCCATGTATATTATGCATATCTTTACATATTTAAATGTATGTGTGTGTGTGTGTGTGTGTGTGTGTGTGTGTGATTTCTCAGGCATGTGTCAGTCACACACTCCCGGCGTGGTGGGCGCGGAACCTTTTTCTGCTAAAATCCGCTACACTGGCTCTGAGGACCCCTCACACCTTCACCTCATCTCCCTCACCGTCAGCATGCCTCACACAGATGGTCTGTTTCAGTCCACTAGATTTTTCAGATTTTTACAGCTTTCCTCTCACCTCAAATACATCTTGCCAATCAGCCAACACATGTTTGGTGTCTGAAGTTTAGTTTTGCTCTGAAGCTATGAGGCTAATGTAGCTAACAAGTAGTAGAAGCTTATAACCCACTTATTAGCATTAAACTGCATAAATAAACCATCACACATTTGCCTCGAGATTTAGTGGTCAAAATGTGAAATCTTGTGGCCAGGGGCACCATGAAATAGGCAATGTCCACTTTTACAAAGAAACAAACTTCAATCCTGGTTGATTAACTATGTTTGGGGTGAAACTGTGAACATTTGATTTTTTTTCCAAACTATAAATGAAACATTTCAGAGCAGATATACTGAGATGCACATGTACTGGTACTATTTATGTTCTATATTCACATAGAATTTCAGTATCTGTAATAGTTTAACAGTGAAAAGCTGTATTTCTATATTTAACTGTGTTACTGACAGGCCTCCTGCCGCTGATCTCCACACGGCCGCTCTCCTGGTCAGTAGCTCTGAGCGCTGACCCGTCCCGAGTGGGGATCCACCGCTGCTCTAATCTGCTCCAGCGCTCGGAGGTCACCACCCGCTACGGGTTTATCTCCAACAACTCCACACGCGCACCCTCTCACGCACACAGCAGCGGCCTGTGGAGCCCCAGCACACACCGGTTCTATAGCAACCTGGACCTGGAGGCCTGCATGTGGACATTCCACGCTTATTACGACATGTCGGAGCTGCTCAGTGATTGCGGAGGCTCCATCACCACAGACAGAGAGGTGGAGCACGCACAGTCAAGAGTAAAGAGGTTTTAAGGGGCCTGTATCCAGTTTGACTAAGCTGCAGAAACAGCTTATCATGGTTGTGATGTCATGTGATTGCCCCTTCAATCTAAAGTCCTTTCCGCTGAAGCCATAAGGAGTTCTATAAACCCAAACTGTTTTTCAGTGAGAATCAAGATTGGGCAGCCAATTGAAACAGAGGTCCTTTACTAATATGAGCCTTAAAGGCACAGTGACCAAAACAAAGGCTAGGAAAAAATACAAGAATATGGGCCCTTTAAAGCCTCAAAATCTGTTCCTAGTACAATTACAAATAGTGATGTTGATGCCAAAACAAACATTTCCAATGTAAAACAGATGTTTTTAAATTGCCTCTCAAAATCAGTAGTTTTTGGTAATTAAAAGTCTGACATGACTGTAGTTATGTGTCTCTCACTTTTACATCTGAGATGTCTCTCTCTGTCTCTCTGCTCTCTCTCTGTCTCTCTCTCTCTCTCTCTGTCTCTCTCTCTCTCTCTCCCTCTGCTCTCTCTCTCTCTCTCTCTCTCTCTCTCTCCCTCTGCTCTGTCTCTGTCTCTCTCCCTCTCTCTCGCTCTCTCTCTCTCTCTGTCTCTCTGTCTCTCTGTCTCTCTCTCTCTCTCTGCAGAGTCTGGTGCAGTCGTTTGTTTCTCTGCGGCTGCCGCTCTTCGTATCCTACCTGTTCAGTGGCCCGTCTGGCTGGATGACCTTTGATCTTCACACTGAGATGAAGCTGACTTTTGTCTATGACACGTCCATCCTGTGGCACCAAGGCATCACCAGCCCCCCCGACACCGAGCTACGGGGTGAGGGTCTGTCTGTGTCTGTGGATGAGTTTGTGAATGGACTTTCTTGTCTCATAAGTCTCTTACATTCTCTCTCTCTCTCCTTCTCTCTCTCTCTCTCTAACTCTCTCTCTCACTCTCTCTCTCTCTCTCTCACTCTCTCTCAATCTCTATCTCTCTCTCTCTCAATCTCTATCTCTCTCTCTCACTCTCTCTCTCTCTCAATCTCTATCTCTCTCTCTCTCAATCTCTATCTCTCTCTCTCTCTCTCTCTCTCTCTCAATCTCTGTCTCTCTCTCTCTCTCTCTCTCTCTCTCACTCTCTCTCCCTCTCTCTCTCTCTCTCTCCCAGGCTCTCTGTACCCCACTAGTATGAGAATAAATGAAGAAGGCCGTCTGGTGGTCACTTTCAGAACAGAAGCTGGTTTCCGGGGACTGTTTATTCTGTCGCACCCAGGTAACACACCTTTGTTCTGTAGAAAATAATCCCCTAATCCACCTGTATTCCCTACATTATGAGATCAGGAGCACTGTATAAAACACTATTACAGGGAACAGAAGTGATCCCTAATCACTGTTCCCTACACTGGAGCACTACACAGGGCACTATTATAGCGCACAGAAATGGTGATGAGTACATAATTCACTGTTTTGTGAATTTGCCGCTCTGCGACAGTAACCTGTCATGAAAGTGGCCTTTTTACAAGAGACACATCTACAACCAATAGGGCACTATGGAGTAGTGCACTATTTGCACTATATAGTGAACAGAGTGTGGTTTCAGACAAAGCCCTTACTGACAGATGCTTTAATTTGAAAGACATTGACCAAATTGCAGAAACAGCCTATTTTTCATTCATCATGGTTGTGATGTCACAACTATGAACACAATTCCATATGACTGCTCCATCCATTCACACTGAAGTGATAAGAAGTGCTTTAAGGCCAAACTACTATTTATATGAGGCTTAAAACAGGGCAGCCAATCAGAACAGACGTCCTTTACAAATATCAGTCTCAAAGGTTCAGTAACAGAACATTATGTTGAATTATAAGGTATAAAAAGAGGTAGTTGGAAATGGTCACGTAAAAATGAATTATATGTTGTTTTGGTACATAAACCCACACAAATGTATATATCACTGCTGTCGGAGGAAAACCTTGTATCTCCAAAATCATAACTTTACAGGAGAAGGAAAAAACATACTTTACTTCTAATGTAAGTCAATGGAACCAGACTTTTTTCCAAGTCATTTTGGGCTGTTTCTTTTGATCTATTCCTCATGAAACAATGTAAAGGATAATGGATATTTTCAAATTATGTCAAAAAATGAAAAATGACAAAAACAGAGATATGAGGTTTTGTTCCGACAGCTCTTTAAAGGCTTAAAATATGTTTTTAACACACATATAAAGAGTGACGTTGATGTCAATGTATGAATTTATTTCCAAATCAAAAATATTCAGTGTAAAATCAATATTTCTGAAAATATGAAATGCTAACAGATCCAAAAACGCTGACCATTACACACACACACACCTCTCTGTGCACTCTCGTACGTTCTTCATCAGGTTCCTCTGTGCAGTCGGTGGTAAAGTGTGTGGATCACCCTGTGCTGTCCTTCTCTCTGTCTCTGCTCAGCACTGACTCCACCTTCAACCAGCCCACGCAGACATGGAGCTTCACCTCTCAGCACTCAGTGAGACACTTCACTGCTCTGAGCAATGAGCACCATCACTCTTAATGACGAAGTGTTTCTTCAGAGTTCAGACGTATTTCTGAAGCTGTGTGTGTTTGTGTGTGTCTGTGTGTGTCTGTGTTTCAGGTGCGCGATTATTCAGGCTCTTACAGTGTGAGTATGGTCCCCTGCGTGGCTCCGCCCACTGTGGCCTACACCAACCCACCTGTCTGTCATCCCCAACAACCAATCACCTTCAGCCTGGATGTCCGTTTCCAGCAGGTCAGCCTGTCCAGCACAAATGGAGAGTTTATGTGTGCAGTACATGTAAAATCACTCAAGGCTTTGACTGTAAACCCTCTGCTGTGCTGCAGGTGAGCGACGCAGTGCCGGCTGAGTTCACCCTGAACACTCGGCTGTATCTGATGGCTAAGAAGGAGCTGTGGCTGTCTGATGGCTCCATGGGCTTCGGAGAAGGAGCTGACGTTGTCTTCTCAGAGGGTACGAACACCAAAAGCACAACTGAACCACTCCCTGAGCACGACTGACTCTAGGACTGGTCGATTTATTTTTGGTCATTTATCAAAATCAAAGATTTTGTCGTTTTGAGACATTTGATTTGGAAAACATCTGTAGAAAATTTTCCTTTGAAGGACATGTATCAAGCATTTTTTCACTTTTAAATAAAAGACTTTGATATAGTTTGGAAATACTGTTAAATTGTTAATTCATGCCATACGGTCCATCTAATAAAGCAGCAAAGTTCATTGACACCTAAAAGACTTTTGATACTGATGTGCAGTCCAAATTCAGTCAATAACCCAAACACAACCAATGACCGAAACATAATCACCCCATTGTCCATCCTGTCCACACAAGTGACCCGACTTCCTTTATCATTTCCAGTACTAGTCATTCCATCCCTCCCTGAGCTCCACTCCTCTTGTTCTCCCACTCGTTCTCCCTCAGGTTCTCAGATATTCAGCCGTGTGATGGTGGACCCAGTGCTGAACCTCGGCTCCTCCTTCCTGTGCCGGGTTCAGAAGGTGTTCCTGTGTGCAGGCGCGGATGGATATGTGCCTAAATACCAGCCGGATAAGGGAGAGTTGGGCTGCCTGGCCGACTCCGCCGCCCTTACATACAGATTTAAAATACTGGTACAGAACCATAACAGAACTCAGTCATTGCTGCCTGTACGCGTGTGTGAGATAGTAATGTGTTCTGCAGTGAAGTTTGGATACGTTTGAGTCACTGTAGAAGTTTTGATTTAAAGGTTTGTGCTAAAATGCTTTAAATCTGTTTCTAACACACCTATAAAAGGTGAAGCTGACGCCTCTGAAAGTAAAGTAATGTAACAAGATTTTGGTGAAAAAAAAAAATTAAATGACTGTTTTTGATACGATGGCAAGAAATCCAAAATTTTAAAGGCCCATGTTGTGGACAACTGAATTTTTTTAATTAAAAAAGTTTGATGTAGTATAAAAACATTGCTAAAGTTTCAAAAGTTTCATGTCACAAAAACAACTCAACTTCCATATGTCCACCCATTCTGCCTACGGCAGTTTAGCTCCGCCCACTCATGCTGAAGTTAGAAGGAGTGTTTCAGCCCAGATGGCTTTTTGAATGAAGGACAATACAGGGCAGCCAATCAGAACAGATCTCAATTGTATATATATATATATATATATATATATATATATACACATACACACACACACACACACACACACATATATATATATATATATATATATATATATATATATATATATACATATATATATATATATATGTATATATATATATATATTAAAAAAATGAGATCTGTTCGGATTATATGCATAAAAGTATAAATATATATATATATAAATATGCCCATCTCTGTGTTTGTCTTTCTTCAGGATAAGTCTTCTCCACACACTCAGGACCTGGTGTTTGGTGGTGTGCCGTTTGCTGCTCAGTTGGCTGAAGACACTCCAGGGGCGGAGCCTCTTGTTAAACAGGCCGGCTCAGATGGCTTCAGCCTATCATCTGCCCCTCTTTTCCAGGTTAGTTCATCTACACTGATGTCTCACTAGCAATCTGTTCAGAGACTTTGAGTTTGTCTCCTTTATCTCATTAAAATCTCCTTCCAGAGGATCTGGTCAGTGTGCATGTCTGTGCTGGTGATGTGGAACTGGAGCGTTCTGTGTGCCAGCATGTTTCCCATCACTGTATAAAAGAAGCTCTGTGCTGCCTTTATTGCTGGATGCACTGTGATAGTTTCTACATTTTAGAATGCAGTTTACATCACTATAGAAACAATAAAAGGGGGCTGAAATGTTAAGTATATTCCTCTCTTGCTTAAACTGGTACTTTGTGACACAAAGAAAGAATAAAAAGTACAAATCCTCCGCTCTGTAAGTCCACAGCCTTTACATATCAAAAATAAATTAATATCAGCATTGAGAAATCACATTATTAGAGGAGAAGAGCAGTTTAAATGGCAGAAATACTGGTTTTTGCCTTAGGATTAAAGGATTATTGACCATTTTGACCATTTGCCATTAGTGTTCTTTCTTTTTCATGTGTTATTATTGTGTTTTTGCAGGCGGCTGCTGGTCGGCAGTGGTACATCCATGTAGTTTACACTGTCCGCTCAAGCAAGAGGAACGACCGTCACACCAGGAGTCTTAACTCTAAGGACCAGTATCACCACAGTGTAGCACCGTCCACCTTTAACAATACTCAGCTCAGGACCGGCTCTCTCAGACGCAGAGCAGCCGACGAGACCAAAGACGAGCTGATAGGGCAACAGAGCGGCCGTGGCACCAACCTCCAGCCCATCAGCCTTCAGAGGGCTCCAAGTGCTCTGCAGGTCCCCAGTAGAGAGGAAGCAGGTCTGGATCGGCCAGCAGGCGGAGCCTCTCTGGGGGATTCAGAGGAAACTGTATCATCGTTCCAGATGGCTGCGTTCGCTGTAGCTGTTGTGGTTTGTCTGATTGGAGTTACAGCGTTTGTGTGGATCTCCAGACGGCGCAGGACAGAAACCACAAAGAAACACACACACGCAGTTCAAACACGCCACACACACTCTTACGGACCCCACACACACTCTGGAAGCTGGGAGAGGCGGAGAGACACTGAGGATTCTGGGAACTCTGAAGTTTGACAGCTACTCTGCATTAGCATGGATCTGTCTGAGTTGCTATGCTAAATATGTGGTGATTTGGAGCCAAAGACACTGAATGACCGATTCACTTAAAGGAATAGCTGGACAAATCATGCTAACACAGCTAACAACGATGGGAAGCTGGTAGTAACACCAGTTAGCATAATGTCATTGATATAATGGTCATTGCTGGTTGCACGACTGCATTCACTTTTAGCAACATTAGCATTTTTGATTGAACGATTCCTGTAATAATAATAATAATAATAATAATAATAATCATCATCATCATAATCATAAGCTTTAAATAGCACCTTTCCCTTTCCTGCCACTTTATGATGTAATGAACAGTCATTGAGTGGTAGATACATTACAGGCCAGAAAAGGAGGCCTTCATGTAATATAGTGGCTGCTGCGAAGGTGAAAGTTAGACAGTATTTGATAAATTAAAGGGGATTTCATTAACCATAGAGAAATAAACTGACTCAGATCATAGTAACCAGAGGACACCATGTCTACAACACACATTTATAGTCACTTTATTTACTATCCAAAACCACCAGTGGCCCAACACATGTCTTCTGAGTTTTATATGTAGCAGTAAATCAGGAGAAATATGTTTTTTAATAGACTATTTTGCCTTATAACACCCTCCATATACCTCTCCACCATGAATGGATCCAAAACATACCATTTAGCCCAAAATCTTGTGTCCAAACTATTATAAAACAATATCTAAGGCAGCAGGCAGTGAATTCATAACCATTTCATGTAAAAACTTTCTGTAAGGGAGCTTTTAGAGGTGGACATCTGGTTCCTATCACTGCCACTGTGAATAATTCTGACTCGGTAAGCTTCTCTAGAACAGAGCGTTTCACACCAAACCACTCTGAATGACTCTGTTTACATCTTAATAAATTTATTTTGTAGAAATTTTGAACAATCAGGTGGAATTCCCCTTTAGGGAGAGTGAGTGGCTACCTAGTTCAGCATCCCGACAGTCTGGTAGAAGAAGCTCTTGCATCAATGGTCCGGACTCTGTGGTACCTCCTGCAGATGGAGGTATACGTTAAGGGCTGTCAGGGCTGTTTCTTTCATAATCATATAATATAGCTGTCATATATGTGTCTATGTGTGGTAAACGTGAACTTTTATAAGTATTGTCTAAATGTAAAAATGCACTCAGTTGTTAAGTAATGGGAAAGTAAATATATGTGTTGCTCCACAGATAATAAAGTGTTTTCAGCTGACGGTTAAATTCTTACTTGCAGTCATTACTGCCTGTATAATTTCTGGTTCATATATATATATATATATATATGCACCTCACATCTCACACTCACAGGGTGTATACAAATACTATATGATACATATTGTCCAATATGTAAAATTCAGCAAGTAAACAGTAGTTGTGCATTGTAGATGTGTAGTGTGAAGTGATGTGAAGTGTGATCTCTGTAGAGGATGAGTTAACTTAGACAACAAAACATTATTTAAAACACACACACACACACACACACACACACACACACACACAAAGAGAGAGAAAGAGACAGGGACAGAGAGCAAAAAAATAATAATCAGAGAAAAATAAAAGGAAAAAAACTCGCTGTGTTTGTCACTGGAGTGACGGTAGAGTGACAACTCCGGGACTTCGATAATCACAAGTATCTTATTTTTGAAGAAAGGCTTTACTAACAGTGTTTCAGAGGTAACATAAAAATTAAATAATAACAAAAATAATAAATTATTATTATTATGATTATTATTATTATGATTATTATTATTTGATGTATTTATGTATTCGTTTTGTCGTTATAGTGACATTTCCAGAACATCTCAGGGAAACTCCACTGATCACAGGACTCTTATTTTTGAAGCGAGGCTTTACGGACGTTGTTTCGGAGCCCCAAAAATCTACATAATAATACAAAATAATAAATGAGTAAATAAAAAGCGCCGTATTTGTCACAGAAGTGACGTTAGAGCTCTTTGCTTTTATTACTTTATTCATTTATTTATTTATATATTTTGACATCTCCGGGACGCCTCAGCGACTCTCCACTGATCAGAGGACTTTTATTAAGATAGGCTTTACGATCCTCGTTTCAGAGCCCCGAAAATTGGCACTTTTAAAATAATTAAAGTATTAAAAATAATGATAAAGAATAATAAGTGAGTAATTCGATTAAAAATAAAAGTAATAAGTGATAAAGCTGGAGTGACGGTAGAGGCTCTGACCTTAGAGTGACGCCGCACCGATCACAGGACTCTTATTATTGAAGCGAGGCTGTATATTTGGTGTTCCGCGGTGCTAAAAACGCACAAAACCGCGAAACCCATTAATGATCGGTACTGAACGGAACCGGCCGCGTGGCGGGGTCGGAGCTGCGTTTCCGGTGCAGTGTCAGTGACGCGGTGACGCGGTGACGCCGCTCCGGTCAGGTGACCGTGTGTTGTTGTGGCGCTGCTCGGTCTCCGAGAGTCTGAGAGACACCGAGACCCCTTTAACCGGAGCCCCTCAGACACACCGACAAACTAACAGACAGACGCCGAGCAGAAGCCGCGCGACCATGCTGGGCGAGATCCGCGCGACCCCGCAGTAGCGAGGAGGAGAGGAGCGACCCCGAGCGCAGCGCGCGGCCCCGCAGCGCCGTTATTATGGCCTAAAGCCGCGGCGGCGCTGCGCTCGAGACCGCGGGGATGGCGGCGGCGTGCGCGCGACTCCTCGCGCGGCTCCTGGCGCTGCTGCCCGCGCTGTGTCTCGCGCTGGCCGCGGCCGACCGCGAGGAGTGGTACACGGCGTTCGTCAACGTCACCTACGTGGACCCGGCGACGGGGCGGGTGCGCACGGAGCGCAGCGAGTACGGCCGCTACGGGGAGCAGTCGCCGAAGCGCGAGGCCCGCGGGGTGCTGGCAGCCGCCGCGTCGCCGCGCGAGCGGCACGTCTGCCGCCCGGGGACGCGCTTCGCCGTGCCGGAGCATACGGGCACCTGGATCGCGCTGGTGGCGCGCGGGAACTGCACGTTCACCGAGAAGATTCGGCACGCGGCGGGGCAGAACGCGAGCGCCGTGGTGGTGATGAACGCGGGGACGGCCAACGGGAACGAGACCATCACCATGCCGCACCCAGGTACGGTTACACTGTAACACTGTAATTCACTGTAACGCTTTAATTCACTGTAATACTGTAACACTGACACTGTGACACTGTTATTCACCGTAACACTGTAATTCACTGTAATACTGTAACACTGACACTGTGACACTGTAATTCACTGTAACGCTTTAATTCACTGTAATACTGTAACACTGACACTGTGACACTTATTCAGCGTAACACTGTAATTCACTGTAATACTGTAACACTGACACTGTGACACTGTTATTCAGCGTAACACTGTAATTCACTGCAACACTTTAATTCACTGTAATTCACCCTAACACTGTAATTCACTGTAAAACTAACACTGTAATTCACTGGAACGCTGCAATTCATTGGAACACTGTAATTCACTGTAACACTGTTTCACCTTAACACTGAAACAGTTTAACACTGACACTGTGATTCACTGTAACACTAACACTGTGATTCACTGTAACACTAACGCTGTGATTCACTGTAACACTAACACTGTGATTCACTGTAACACTAATGCTGTCATTCACTGTAACACTGTAACACTAAAGAGGTTTTTAAAGGGGCACTCCACCCTAAAAGTTTTTAAAGGGGCACTCCACCAGAATTTCTACATAATTAAATGGTTAAGATGTAAACAGAGTTGTTCAGAGAGGTTAAGTGTGAGATGCTCCGTTCTAGAAAAACTCAGAATTGTTGACAGTGGTGATGATAGGAACCAGACGTCTGAAGAGTTTAATGTTCCCTCACAGAAAGTTATTACATTAAGTAGTTATGAATACACTGACTGATGCCTGAGATGTTGATTTGTGATAAAGTTGGAACAGACACAGCAGTGCCATATTTAAACTATGAATCAAATCATTTAACATTTACACTCTGCCCTGCACCAAATCCAATTAAACAGCCTAATTAAACCCTCTTTTTAGTCAAACCAGCAGTTGGGAAGTGTTTCTAAGTATTGTTGATATCCGCAGTACACTCAGAAAAACATATTGTGACACATTTTGATGTAATTTATCATGGTAAAGATAAATATTGTCATATTGCCCTGATGCTATAAGGTTAATAAATACAGATGAGGTATTTGGCTTCCTAGCAGTAATGTTAGCTATCTGGCTTCCGTCTGCATGAGCCAGCAAGAAGGGAAGAAGTCATGTCTTCAAAAGCTCCTCCCACCTTCAAAATACATCATCAGAAGTTTCCAGATCTTTAAACTGGAAACTGGTGAGGAGGCATGTTTACAACAGATAGTGATAGTTAGATTTTTCATTTTGGGTGGGGTGCCCCTTTAATAAGCACCAGAAACATGCGGCATTAGAGCTGAGCAGAGACAAGCTCCGCCCCTGAGGTTTGGGTCAGGAGACGTTGACTGCATCCCTGAATCACCCTGTTAACCGTAAACCTCCCTCGCAGATCTCCTCCAGTCTCAGACTGGGCTCATCAAACGAGCCAGTCCAGTGTGTTACTGACGCTCCTCAGCTGCTGTGCTGAGACCTGACGTCGATTCACACTGGGCTCCAGTCATCAGTATTCCAGCTGTGTTTGGGATGTGTCCACTTCTCTCACATCTGGGAAACATTGGAAGTCTGCATGTTTTAAAGGAGGTGTTCAGGCTCTCGACCACATCCGGACCTTTAACCCTGTTAATCCCGAGCCTGAAGGTGGCCACATCGGCACGGGCCCTTCTGTACGTCTTTGTCTGGGTGTAAAAGGCAGAAGCTGATCTTAAAGAGGAGCAGTCTGGGAACTGACCGCCTGCTCAGGCTCTGCAGAGCGGAGGAGGTGTAGACATCCGTTTTCTCTCTCTGTCTTTCATCTGCTGGTTAAAAGTCAAATGTGACAAATGTGCCCCCCCCCCTTTACCCTGAGGATAGCCGATCAGTAATAAAAATTACAGATACAGTTTGTTTTTTTGCTGTGTGATGATATGAACAGTCATACAGTGTCAGAAAAACATATTCAGGTGTATGGATGACTTAACAGCTCAACACAGCGTGAGCACAGTGCTAACTGGTGGAGTGCAAGCTTCCATTACTTGTTAGCTACATTAGCCTTGTAGTTTTACATATTGAGTAACATGTTTGTAATTATATCTCTCTCTCTCTCTCTCTCTCTCTCTCTCTCAGGAACGGGTGATGTGGTAGCGATCATGATCCCGGAGCCCAAAGGGCGGGAGCTGGTGTTGCTGTTGGAGAGAAACATCACGGTGCAAATGCACATCACCATAGGAACGAGGAACCTGCAGAAATTCGTCAGTCGCACCTCCGTCGTCTTCGTCTCCATCTCCTTCATCATCCTCATGATCATCTCTCTAGCCTGGCTCGTCTTCTACTACATACAGAGATTCAGATACGCCAACGCCAGAGACCGCAACCAGGTACACTCACACACACACACACACACACACACACACAGACACACATCTACACACCTCATCAGATATGCACACACACACAGGTTCATTTCTTTATAAAAGATCATGTCCCATATGTTAGTACCTACACGTAATAATAGTGGACAAAAAATATTTTTATATGTGCAGTATACGGTATTATACGGTATTATATGTGCACGCACCTATGTAATAATATATCCCACATATATATAAGTATTTATATGCAATAATAACAGGTCCCATATCTAGTATATAAGTGAGTATCTATATTTAATTAAAATATAAATCATTTATCAATAAATTGGTATATAAATGAAATAAAACAATATTTTATTATTTATATTTTATTAATGTAAAAAAATTAAGTTTTCAGAATAACACTATGAAAAGAATAGCTGCAATTAGAATAAGCACACAGTTCAGTGCACACTCATAACAAGACGAATATCTGCACAGACACTCACATACAAACACGCACGCACGCAATCTACCACCAGCATGTGCAGCGGCTCGTAGCCAAACCGTGATAAACCTAATCACGCTGTCAGCTGTGAACTGCAGTAAAAGTTTCCAGCGTTTCTGGACCTGCAGTGTGTTAAAACATGCCACGAGGCTCCGACGTGCTGGTCCATCACATTCCTTGCTGTTTGTAAGTGTTTTTAGCAGCACATTGTTGGAGTGGGTTTCTAAAGTTTGATTACAGGGCAGAGAGCTAATCAGACCTGCAGCCGGTGTTCAGAGAGACAGAGAGAGAGCGAGAGGGGTCGTTTGTGTGGTTTCCTATGCCGTTTGCTGTGGTTTACTGTTTTATTGCCTCAGCTCTCCTCTGATGGCGTCTACAGTAAGGGTGCAAACATGCATAATGGTGTCTAGTCAGCTGCCTTGATTTGAAGTTAATTCGTGTCAGCCTGGCATGCATAGTTAATTATAACAATGTTTAATAAAGCAATGAATATTTTTCATATGTGAAAATCAAAGAAAACAAAAAATGCACGGTACTTGTTTTTATTTTCTATATTTCCTTACTGTGTAAATAGTTCCTTTGTGTTTTCAGTGTATTTTTGAAGGAGAATTCCACCAATTTCCTCACAAAAAAATTCAGCAAGATGTAAACAGAGTCGATCAGAGTGCTGTGATGTGAAATGGTTCGTTGTAGAGACTCAGGTTTCTTTACAGTGGTGAAGATAGGAACCCAGATAGGAACACACATATGGCCATTTTATTTACTGTGTAAAACCACCAGTGAACCTACACGATTCTTCTGAGTTTACATTTGAAATGTTGATGATGGTAAATGAGTAATAAATCTTAAAAAATAGGTTTTCACTGGGGACGATATTGGCACCTTACTTCGCCATGAATGGATGCAAAAAATGCACTTTTAGGACAAAAGTAAATCCCAAAACTGTCATAAAACAGTGTTTCAGACATCAGGCAGTGAATTCATAACCATTTCATATATAACTTGCTGTGAGGGAGCTTTTAGAGGTGGACGTCTGCTTCCTATCACCACCACTGTGAACGGTTCTGAGTGTGTATGTGTATCTAGAACAGAGCATTTCAAACCAAACCACTCTGAATGACTCTGTTTACATCTCAAACATTTGATTATGCAAAAATAATGAAATAATGAAATAAATAATAGATTTTGTAATAAAAGTTGTTTTCTTGAATTAAGTCAGGGGGAGAGAGAGAAGTGTAAATTACTGAGAGATGGTTGTTAATAATGTAGTAATAGCGCTCCTTATCTGTCTTTTCTCTGATTGCTTTTTGTTGAGACAGTAAATTACTTTACTGGCCACAGTTTACTTTGTCAACACTGATAGCACTGAGAGAGAGAGCGAGAGGAGGAGGAGGTGTGGATGGATGATAAGGTGTGATGCTGACTGTTAACAGTTCTTTCTTTTTTTCTGCGTCTAGAGACGACTTGGTGATGCGGCTAAAAAAGCCATCAGTCAGCTCCAAGTTCGGACTATAAGGAAAGGAGACCAGGTGAACAACATATACATACATATACACATAGGATATACACACGTATTCATATACAGTACTGTTTAGGCATGCGCAGTGCCATGTAGGACATGAAGGGGCAGTATCCCTCAGCTGGAATAAAAATCCCCCCCCCATTGCTTTTCCTTGTAATTTTAAATGTCTGATTACAACACTCTGAGAAGCGTATACAGTGCTGTGCATGAGTCAGAAACCACCCTTCATTTAATTTCTAGTCAAAACAGCCATTACATTTACAGCATTTAGCAGATGCTCTTATCCAGAGAGACTTACAGAAGTGCATTGTTGTCTACTCAGAGAATGAATCCTAATCCTGAGTCCAAACTACTGAGTTTAGACACAGCTAGAAACAAAACCCAGTGCTCATACATGGAAAGAAGGAATCAAACATAGCATAAGTGCAATACAATGCATTTCAAAAAGTGCTTAGATTAGTGCTCGCTTGAGTACTTCATAAAGAGATGGCGACAATAGCCTCATTTACATGCAGCCTGATAATCCGTTAATAATCCGACCATGTAAACATCTCGGAATAGTCTAGTCTGATTGAGGCCATTCGGAATACAGTTTCTATCTGATTGAACGAGGTGGGTAATCCTGTAAATAATCTGTTAAACAGAAGAATAATATCCATGTAAAAGCCTGTATCTGATTACATTCCCTATCAGAAAGTTTAAGTCCGTTCTGATCATGTTCGTCACGTCATAGTGAGAGTTTATAACATTCAACATGGCGGAGCAGAAACTGGTCTGCAGAGGAGACGAAGTTTATGCTCTGATCTTTAAAAGACGGCGGTGGGACGGACGTCCATCTTATGTGTCTCAGAACACAATGTCTTCCTCTCGGCCTTCTTTAATAAGGACATGTGAAGTATGTTTTCCTGAGTCTGACATCATTTTAAAGCATTTAAAAACACAAGCACTGCTCACTGCTGCTCATCTCACTCTGACTGGACTTGCCTGATGGTCGCTGTCATGGTAACATCTACCCCAAGTGGTTCTCCACGCATGTGTGTAATTTTGGATCAGATTACTTGTAGTGTGCATGTTGAGTAGAGAGAGTATATAAAGTCCTCAGTCTTAATCTATAATCGGAATGTATTCCGTCGGTTTGGCAAAAATCTTTACATGTAAACCCAGCCAGTGTGGGAATCTGCTGTTCAGACAGCCAGTAAAAGTGTGTTCCACATGGGCGCTTGTCTTCCATGCGTCCTGAAGGATGGCAAAGGACTCAAGGTATGGATTACGTTTTAACCATTGCCGTCAGGTAGAAAGGAACTGGTCCGTTTCTGGCTTTGCAGGCAAGCATCAAGGCTTTAAATCTGATGTGGGCAACTACAGGAAGCCAATAAAGGGAACACAGCAGTGGAGTGGCATTAGCGAATTAGCTAGATTGAAGACAAGCCATGCTGCTGCATTCTGGATCAGTTCCAAGGGCCTGATGCCCCGGGTGGGAAGACCAGCCAGGCAGCCTTGAGATGACAGGACTGAACAAGCACCTGGGTGGCCTCCCGAGAGAGAAAGGGTCGAATCCTCCGGGAGTTGTAGAGGAAAAACCTGCATGGCTGAGTCAGGTTCGCAGTGTGAGCTGAGGACGATAACTGTACATCCAGAATCACGCCAAGACTTCATCTTCAGATGGAGTTCTCAGACAAGTTGGTAAGAGCTTGATGAGGAGCTGTAGTTCCAGGGATGAATAGCAGCTCAGTCTTGCAAGGGTTGAGCTTCAGGTGGTGAGCTGCCGTCTGTGAAGAGATGTCAGTCAGACATGCTGAGATTAGACTGGAAACTTGAGTATCGGAAGGGTGGGAAGGAAAGCATTAGCTGGGTGTGATCAGCATAGCAGTGGTAGGAGAAGCCATGAATGCATATTACATCACCAAGAGAATGAGCGTAGAGTGAAAAGAGAAGAGGACCCAGCACTGAGCCCTGTGGGACACCAGTGGAGAGCCTGTATGGAGCGGATGTGGACCCTCTTCATGTTTTCTGATAAGAGTAACTCATCCAGATATGACTCAAACCACTTCCAAGTGCAAGGAAGGAGAAAGTGAAAAACACAGGAGTTTCCAAAACTAGAGTTCAAAAAATGATGAAAAGCTACAGAGAAAATGTGACTGCCCCCATCAGATAAACAGCACTTAAAGCTCTCATCTTTGAGAGAGGAGAAAATCAAGCTGCTTCAGATCTGAAGACATTCTGTCCATCCTTCCACTGTGAGAAGACGACTTAGCGCTATGGGTCTAAAAGGATGTGTAGCTGTCAAGAAGAACCTCACTGAGAAAAGGAGACGGACACATCAAACAAAGAAGCCAAAAGTGTTAAACCAACTTGTAAGACTGAACTTTGGAAGAGTGGAAAATTATCCATGCAGTTTTCTTTGAAAACTGAAGGTGACTCTCCAGAAAAGAATGGGAGATGCAGTAAAGAGTGGATGCATTAAACACTGAGAAAGTATTCTGTGTCATTTTTGTTAAGTATGTTTTTGCTTTTTTTGCTGATGTTGAAAAAGGAATAGCTTGTGCTTATTTACTGTTTGACTGGACATTAAATTAATGAAGGGAAGTCTCTGACCTTTGCCCGTTACTGCAGACTTACTCCCAGTCATAACAGTAGCAAAAGGATAAAGTGAAATTTCGTTTAACAGTTTGTGTTCATCAGTTATAAGCTAACACTAGGGGTGCGGGAAAAACTCTATTCTTAGATGCGTCGCGATGCGGACGTGAACGATTCTGAATCGATTCACAAATGTCAAAAGTCGATTTTCTAAATATTTCATTTATAATGTAATGTTGACGGAAGGCAAAAGGCGGAACTGTAAGTGCGGAAGTGCAGCGCCCGGACAGTCTGAGGAGGCACATAACAAAAACACAACTTGATGAGCGAGAAATCCGACCGGCTCCCTCTGCATTAAAGCCAGGTTAGGTCAGGAGTCTCAACCCAAATGATGAGAAGAGCCATTTTGCCTTTCAACAAAGTCAAACCACCTTGGGAGCCACAACATTTAATGCCCAGTATGTCTCAGTGTGTGATAATGTCCTAGTATGGGCTAAAAATATAAACGAGAGCGCAGATTTACTCCGCTCTGCTTTAAGCTTTAGCTATAGCCGCTTTCCTCCCATCTCCGCCAGAAAACTTTTCTTCAAAACTAGAAGAGTTTCTTATAAAATGTCTCAGCATCCGGCTGTTTTACGAGGCTGAAGTCGCTTCTCATTCGCCAGCTTCTCATTCTAATTTTCCCGTTCCACCTTAAATTCTGCCTTAGGCGCCGAACTGCCGCACCATTTAAGGTGGAACGGGAAAATTCGAAAGTTCATTTTCGCAACTTTTTTTTAACTCTCGTTGCAGATTTAACCAACCACGCTGCTTATAAATGCGAATAAGTCCTTCAAATGTTCGACTTAATCGTTGAGAACCAGGGCTTACGCGCTATGCTGCACTCTTTGGAGCTGAGATTCAGCGTCCAGTCTCGAAAATAACAACCCATCGCCCCCCCAACACACACACACTCTCTCTACAACGAGACCAAACCCAAAGTTATAAGATCACTAAAGAAAACGGGAAGGTTGGCTGTAACGCGCTGCGTGGACACCCATCACCACTGGATCTTATTTCAGGGCAACAGCGCATTTTATCACAGATGAGTGGCAGCAGCGGCTCTAAATGAGAGCCTTCTAGTTCACTTGCCACATCACTTCCATTTGATTTATTAATAAAAGATATTTTAGATATTTGAAGCGAAGTATTTGTAGTGATCCATAATGCATTTACATTATGGATCATTACAAATACTTTGCTTTAAAACTACCAAGTCCTCAGACAGTGAGAAAATAGAAATCCTGTATAGAGAAAAAAGATGCATCAAGATGCATCGATAATCGTTTTATAATCGCATCGCGGCCCTCTGAATCGTAATCGAATCAAATCATGAGGTGCCTGAAGATTCCCACCCCTAGTTAACACTGTAGAAAACAAATTATTAAACGCTTTATTTATTTTTTATTTTCTCAGATGGACTGATACGTCTGCACAGTAGTATATGGGAATTCAGTTTGTGTAATTAAAATTGATTTTATTTTTATGTTTATTTTGTATGTTTTCATTTTATTTGGTCTGTTTTCATCATGCCTCTTGTGTGTTTTATTTGCATTTGTGTGTGTGTGTGTGTGTGTGTGTGTGTGTGTCCCTCCCTCCAGGAGACGGAGTCTGATTTTGATAACTGTGCGGTGTGTATTGAAAGCTATAAGCCCAACGACGTTGTGAGGATTCTGCCCTGCAGGTGAGAGCGCCGTGGTGGATTTGTACACTTACACACTCACTTTCTGTCCTGTATTCTGTCTCTCTGTGTTAAACACTCTTTCCTCTACTCTCCTCCAGGCATCTCTTCCATAAAGGCTGTGTGGACCCGTGGCTGGTGGACCATCGGACCTGTCCCATGTGCAAAATGAACATCCTCAAAGCGCTCGGCCTCACGGTAGGACCTGAATTAGAGACTTTCTGTCCGTTTCAGTACGGCTCTCATCACTGAGGCCTTATTACTTTCTCTCAGGAGAATCTCCAGTGCGTCCCTTTACTCTATAACGGGTGCCTAATCCTGGTCCTGGAGATCTGCCACCCTGCACAGTTTAGCTCCAACCCTAATCTGACACCTGATCCAGGTAATCAAGGCCTCCAGGGACATCTGAGTGTTGCAGCCAGGCATATTGGATCTGAACTCTCTAGGGTGGAAGATCTCCAGGACCAGGATTGAGCACAATATTATGAGATCAGTTTGAGGCTGTTAGATGAGCCCTCAGAGGGGTGAGAACATAATTTATCTCAGCTTGCCATGAACTCTGCAATCTGAAACATTTCCCTTTTCAAAAAAAAAAAAAGTCAAAGCTGTTTGGAAGCCACAGCAGTAAAACACCTTAAAACGTTTCATATTTCATAACTATAACGTTCAATTTGCTATGTTCAAACAGCGCTTTAGGTCCATCTACGCCATCTGTCATACATGACTGCTGATACAGCTTCTTTACTCTGATAGCTTGCTAGTTAGTGGTCAGACTCCCTCAAATGTTGACTGTCTCACAACTTGACTCAGATTCAGTATAAAATGAAAAGAGTTAGGGACTTAGGGGTGCACAGAAGTTTCTGTCACCTAAATATTTCTGCCGAAAATGGTAAAAAATGGCACGTTCTGGTTTTCTGTTAAAAGAGAAGTACGTTAGCCTGAACCAACTGGCAAATCACATCCCACAGATTAGATTACACATCTTCTCACGATCTAAATCCAGCTCAAATCGTGTTTATAACACTGGCCCAAACATCTCGTTCTGGGCCCAGTGAGAGCATAACCGCTACTGCAAGATCAGCTCAGTCATATGAGAGTCATAGGGATTTGTGAGTCATTTTAATTCTCCCTCAATCTGCACTGTTAGCTTACAAAAACAGGCTTTTTAGGCATCTAAATCAGGGGTGCCCAGCTCTGGTCCTAGAGGGCTGGTGTCCAGCACAGTTTGGTGAATTACTGGCTCAAACACACCTGATTACACATCTGTCATTTGGCAGATTTAGTGGGTGTTTGAGCAGGGAAACTACCAAACCATGCTGGACGCTGGCCCTCCATGACCGGAGCTGTGCACCCTGATCTAAATGGTTATTTATATATATTGTTGCTGTTGGAACAAAACCTTGCATCTCTATTTTTGTCATTTTTTTTTATTAGACAATTTCAAATGACAGCCAACCTTCAGAATATGTTATCATTTCATGATGAATGGAGCGGCAGAAATAGTCCAAAATGACTTGTTACATTGACTTCTATTACAAGTTAGAATAGTTTTTTCTTTCTCCTGGAAAGTTACTATTTAGGAGATGAGAATTTTTGTTCCGACAGCAGTGATATGATATCTATAAGAGTCCAGTATTGATGCATCCCTATGTTTTTTACTGAACTGCTTTCACTACTGATGCGTGCTTTATCTGTAATGATCTCTACTCAGTGGTATTGGATTCCATGGTTGCGCTCTGCTGAACTGAAGTGCTTCATTGTGCTTAATCCTGTGGTTGCGTCTAGTGCAATTGTGCTTATCAGGCTGTTATCTGATTATCTGACTCTAATCCAGTTACTGTGTTGAAATCTGTGGTGTTTAACTGTGTGATTGTTTCTAATAGTGTTGTGTTTAACTGTGTGCTGATTGCCTGATTCTAGTCAAATTATTGAACAGCTTTAACTCTGATTAACTCTGTCTGTGTCTGACTCTGTGATCTCTGTCGTCCAGTCGAGCGCTGAGTGCTTAGATGAGCTTCCTCTGGACTATGACCTGGCGGTGGGGGGCGTGGCCCTGAACGCCATGGTGATGAGCGATGACGTCATGGGCGGTGACGTCGCAGTGGGACGTGACCCAGGGATCCGGATGGTGGGTCTCCCTCAGGTCCTCCTGGACTCTGAGCCCATGTCTGAGGACACCATGACGACGGAGCAGAGTGAGTCTCATGCCTCTGTTTGGTAGCATCTTTTGTTTTTGTATCTAGTCTTTTAACGTCTGGAGTAGATTTTAACCCGTCTAGTGTGCTAATCTGATAGATTGATTGGCTCTTTTTTAATGTAGATTTTGATCACTTTACTGTATGAGTCGTAAGAAATCCTTTTAATGTGTTTTTACACCATTTTAATCATGTTGAATGATGAATGGATCATTGATGAATGGATCAACAGAAATGGTCCTCAATTACCGGGAATACGATTGCATAACTCTGCACATTAACATTGGTTATATTCACAAATCTCAGTCTCTCCAGGAATTTGTGATCACAAATTCACACACATTTAACCAACCCTCATAATTTTGTCCCATCACCCCATTATTTCCCCATTAAATGGTTATTATGATAATGATAAATGATAAATAAATCATATAGATGCTTTCACAGTTATTGTAAGCATACAGCTTTTGCACTATGTGCTGGGAAGTCATGGATAATGCAGGGCAAACCAATTTCCAAAGCTTTGGCATGAAGGCAGGTAGGAAACTGTTTTGTGTGCCATGATATTATCGATAATCCCCATTTTTATCATGATTTTAAGAAAATATCCAAGAAAATCTCACATCTATCTAAGAAAAGGCTCACAATTATCACACATTTCTACAGTTTTATTGTGAAATAAAGTGCAAAGATTGAGAAAGGCTGGTGCAAAATCCAGCACTTTGAGCCTCCAACTATCAAAAAAGGCTGCAGGATCCTGGAGGCACTGAAATATGAATGTTAATCAGCATTTTTTCCTTCTCCTGTAAACTTCCTGTTTCAGAGACGTGTGTTTTTCTTACAACAGCAACAGTAAAGACAGATCTGTGTGCTGTATTAAAAAGCTCCTGTCCCCTCAGGCGAACTCCAGCCAATAGCGAGCGGCAGTTCTGAAGCATCACTCGCGATGGGGGCGGGGCATTTAGACATGGACATGCATGTGGAGGATGTGAAATGCTGATTGTGCCACGGACGCTCAAACCACACACCCACAGACTGAGTCGCCCACGGCAACAGCCCCATGGGCGGGGTTTAACACGTGTGCTGTTCTGACAGAGCTTCCGGAGGAATCTCTCAGCCAGTGACATCACACTACGACATCACTGCCTGCTGCACTCTGACCTCTCTTTCTCTCTCTCTTCTCGTCACTAATGCCAGATCTCTGATGGATCCTTTTGTAGCAGAAGGATCCACTCCAGTCCGTTTACCTTTAGATTAGAGTGCGTTCTCCCGAGTGTACACTACACTAGCACGAAAGGCAGTTCATTCTCAGCAGACAATCTGCTCCGTTCTGCTCGACAATCAGACCGTTTTTTTTCCCCATTCCTCCACAAAGTCTCCTTCCATCGCGTCTTTTCTGGAACAAATCCGAAAAACAAAACGAAAACAGTGTTTATTTTTCTATAGAGATGCATTTGAAGTGTAAACAAAGTGCAGTATTTGAAGACGCTTTGGAAGTACTGAACTGCCGTCTTTGATGAGGGGGAAACAAGTGAAGGTGTTTACACACTAAACCCGTGACTCGAGTATTCAGCTCGCATGAGAAGTGTTAGGGTTTATTCCCGGAAAGTGCTCTTTCGCTCTTCGGACTCTGCGGACCACAGCATTTCATACGACTTTACAGCATGAAGCAGCAGGCCTTAAACACCTGTGTTTGTATTTAAGTGGATTCCATTTAAGTTTGTAACTCTTGTTCTTCCACATCTTAATTTTATTGTATATTGTAAATAGAAGTATTTTGTCAACCTGATCCTCCTTTTGGGTATTTTTTTTCCTCATTCTGCTGGTGTCTATCATGCACTTCATCTAGTAGGAGGTTGTAGTTCATTTGCAGATTTAACTGGGTCCTGATTTCACACTCAGATTTCTTTTCAGAGTTTGCAGACACACACTTGACTGACCGTGAATTACTTGCACATACACGCCCTGCATTCACTGAGCACCAACACCTACATGTTCACCGTCAACATGAACCCACCACATACATGCAGTGACGGTTCTAGAGCTGTGCAGGGCACAGAAATCGACCTCATCGGATCGTTTCGCCATATTGGCAGGGTTCGTTCTTTGCTAATGTGCTACACGTACCCATATACACTGCAGGAGCTTAAAGAGATCGCTGTTTTATTGTGTTTTTTTAAGACTGTTGTGCTTAAAGCATTGATCAAATGAGAAAAAGTGTGTTTCTTAACCTACTCTGAGGGATTCCAGACAGGGGTATATGGGTACATTTTTTCTTTTAACAGTGTGGATCAAACAAACTCCCAAAGAAAGACTCAAGCAATGATCTGGTTATGCTGCTGTTAGCACCTCTTTCATTCCCAGATGTTTTTCCTAATTTAGCTTTACAGGTCATGTCTACAGTTTAAAAACAGATTTTCAGCCACTGTCAGATTTAACCCCCGTTTTGTACTTCACCTCGTAGCTTTTAACTGGAAAACAGTCAGTTTGTGAAGTGTTGGGTAACTCATGGCAAACATGATACATTCACTGAATGCTTTTGAAAGTTTAGTTCAGCTGCTGGCAATAATTTTTACTGTGTTATTGGCATATTTTACTCAGTTATTGCCGTATTTCACTCATCCACTGGTTTATTTAACTCAGTTATTGCCGTATTTCACTCATCCACTGGTTTATTTAACTCAGTTATTGCTGTATTTCACTCATCCACTGGTTTATTCAACTCAGTTATTGCCATCCACATGTCAGTCAGCTCAGCCAGTGTTTTTAGTGAATCCATAGACAATCTGTGAATCCATGGACAATCTGTTTGTGCAGTGGTTCAGTGATTCTGAACCAGTTTTGTGTGTAACCCTCCCAAAATGGTGAACAACAAAACACACTGCGTCAAGATCACATTCCCAAGCCCTGTAAACGGGTGGCCAGGGCAGTTTTAGAGGGTCCAGAAGCATGTTTGTACACACACAGTTCAAGCAGTGGAAACACTGGAGAGCATTATTTCAACCACAGCATCTTTAAACATGAAGTTGGTTTCTTAATCATCAACGCCTTATTTGAATTTGCTGTTCCACCTTAAATGGTGCAGCAGTTACATTCTGTGGCTACCTGTCGATATGGGGAGGACATTACAGCCATATTGCAGTTTCGCCTAACGTGTGCTTCGCTCTGCTGGTGTAAACATCATGCGCTGAGCTACTTTCTCATCAGATGAGTGAGAGGGAAGCATTCTAATCAGCCAGTTTTGTGAAAGAAAGTTTAGGCTGGCACAGAGAATGGCCAACCAGACTTCAGGGGTCACCAGTGCCACCCTGGCCCCCCTCTAGCTACGCCACTGCTTGCACATACATACACATATACTAGGAGGTTCCCCTTCGGGCTCTTTACTGGTAAAAGTTCTGCACGTGGGTTTGAGTATGAATGAAGTTTATTGTGACTTTTGGATAAAGTTTTTCATTCTCATTTAAAATGCCTTTAGAAGACGTCTCAGAGTGATGCAGATGTTGACAGACTGTCAAATCACCTGTAGCTCTAGATGACACACCAAAAAACGAATAAGTCAATAAATGAGAACTAATATCTAGACTGGCACATAGAGAAACAGAAAGATGTGACAGATCCTCCATTAGGCTGCTGGCTGTATGTGAGGGATTCTGCCTCTAGAGTGCGCTGTGGAGCTGAGGCCTGCTGGAGGCTGGGGAAACAGAGAGCAGGCATTAGCACACATTTCATTTGGATTTTCGCCCTGTTTGGTGCTGTAACAGTTAGAGATGGTTCAAAAGTTTCCCTCCTTTACCCCAACTATGGGTCAGTTAGCTTCTGTGGTTTTGCACTGGAGCTGCGAGGCTAATGTAGCTCTGGTTTGAGTTAACTGAGCCCTTTTCACACTTAAAACCGGGACATTATTGGGATCATTTTATCAGTAATATTCAAGTTTTTAACGTTTTTATGTCGAAATTACAATTCCAAGGGGAACTCCACCAATTTCCAAAAATTTCAGCATGATTCAGTTGTTGCGATGTACACAAAGACACTCAGAGTGGTTGAAATGAAATGAATCTGCATAGAAAGACGTTTTCACACCATTTGATCAACATTACATATAAATACTCAGAGACAGATATAGGTTCACTGGTGGTTTTGGATAGTAAATAAAACAGCTATATTAGTATTGTAGTCATTGCAATCCCTGGTTCCTATCAGCACCACTGTAAAGTAACCTGACTCGTGAGGTTTCTCTAAAGCGAACTGTTTCACATCAGAAACACTCTGAATGTTCACATCTCAGCCACTGAATTCTGTGGAAATGTTGAAAAAGTCCACTTTAAGAGGTTTGGTGTAACCACTTGTGTTGAAAAACGAGCTGACCGTGTGAGGTTAGGATGAGGAAATATGGAAGTTAAGGAAAATTTTGGAAAAAAGATGGAAGTTCTGTCATAGATGCCACATTTCTAAATTAAGAAGAAGATGAAGCCTCTAAACACATTAAACATTCTCCCTTTCATGGCTCAGTTACTGATTTGGAAGGTAGTAAGAGGTGTTGAGCAGGTATGGAATGTGTTCCTGCTGAGTGGGAGACGCAGAGCTGTGCAGACATGCTGGAACTCGCTACGCATGCAGCCAGAGAGACACTCACCCTGGAGCTCACCGCATGAAGGGGTACGAGGAGCTGAGGGACAAACGCAGGCATTGAGATTAGCTTCACATTTTCACTCGCTGACAAATTAGTTGACTTTTAGTAACAAAGTAAAATGAAGTTATTTTTTGTGTGTAATTCTTTGCATAGCATTCCTGATGTTGGCCCACAGGTTCTCACTGGGCTCAGACGTCTACAGTGTTGATGTAAACCTGTGTCGTGCCTTAGACTCGCATGTTTGAGTCTTTTTAAATTCCCCTCATTAATATTTACTCAGCTCACCTCTTGGTTTCACTGCGAGCCTCAGCGAACTTGTGTCTGGTCATGAAACTGGCAAGAGCATCAGCCACCTACAAATAACAAAAACAGTTGTGTTTTTTTTAACCAGTTCTTCACAGGACTTTCTAAAGCTGTCTTCTAAATATAGAGCAGTCAGTAAACAAACTTTACTTTTAGCTATTTAAATCATAAATAATACAACAAAATCATCAATCTATCTCTAAATGCAGTCTTTGAATGATGGTGCAATCTTTCCATTGGAGAATGGTGCTTCATCTAGACCTGGGTCCCAGGCCTGGTTTAAGTGTAAGCTTAGGTTAAAGAGGCTTTTTAGTAGTGAATCATCAACATTGCAGTTTAGTCCTGGTCCTGGAAACCAGCTTCTTGAGGAGTTAACTCACTTTTTCTAGTACAGGTATAAAATGGTGAAGGTTTATTTGAATGATACCTGCTTCACTCCTACCTTATCTGGTGTGTCTTCATGCACAGCATGGCCACAAGGGGGCAGCACCTGCATCATGAATTTGCCTGCAGAGAAGAAACTCACTCTGTTAATCTAATCAAATCTGCTAATGCAAACTGTTTCAGGCTGATAGAGAAGCAGCTTACAGACGTATACACAGCCACACCCTGACCTTAGCCATTACTACCTACAAAGTAGTGTCGGATTAGTGTACTAAAGGGAAAATGCTGACCATTCAAATACCTCTGTGTGCTGTGGATCTGTATATGAACCATCATCTACTGAATTAGTTCAAAACGGACCTTCTAATATTTGGACCTTCTAATATTCGTTCTTCTGTCCTGTTAGTGTTGTCTGTTACTCTGTAATACTGCTGGTTTCAGGGTCAGACAGGCCCACCATCAGGACCTGAGACAGACTGTGTGCGTGTGGGTTATTGTTAGCTACAAGGATTCTTAACTGACAGCAGCAGGTGTCGGCCCAACTGACCCTGTTAATACAGTAAGAGCACTCCACACACACACATAGACACACACACACACACACACACATAGACACACACGCTGCTGGACACAGCAAACGCAGAGGAACAGCTCTATTATGGTCCCTATCATGTCAGGCCTGCTTTGCCTTACAACAGTTACAGAGTAACTTTGTAGGCGAGACGGTCAGCATGATTGGCTGAACTGCCTCCTTTGACAGATTGACTGACCTTGCATTTGGCCGATGGTCAGATCTCTGTCCAGCCGGTCAATACCTGCACACAGAACAGCTCATATTAAACACCTGTTAGTGGTGTTACCTTAAGTGGACAGTTCCATCCACCTACCTTACATCCACCTACCTTGCACTCGTCGGCTATTTTATCACAAACTCCTGCTAAATGCAGTGGTATGCAAAAGTTTAAGCACGTTGTTGATTTTCTAAGTGAATACATCCTCTACAGAGATCACAGTTCAGCACATCTTAATACATAATTACTGTTTATTTGCTGAACCATAACATATTGGGGGGGGGGCATAAAATGTGGACTGTGAAAAAGTTTATATGTTAAACTCACCAAGTACGAAATGATGCACTGCAATCTGTAAATTAATTTAATATAAAGTTTAATTTGGAAAATAGTAAACTTGCTTTAATATAGAAGATCCCTGTGGAGGGATTTTAACTTTGACTTAGAAAATCAACAAAACATAGCTGCCCGGGGGGGGAGGTGTGGGGGGTGGGGTATTCAAACTTTTGCACATGACTGTATGAGCAACTCTGCTAGTTTACAGTTACAGCCTGCAGTCCAGCTGCTGCTGTACAGATCACAGTCTAGTCAAAGAGGGTTTTTAGTTTAGTTAAACATTCTACTAATTCACACTTCTAGGTCTGCGTCTCAGGTAAACAATCTAAAGCTTGGGTGGGTTATTTACTCAGTTTCTCCTCTAGCTGGGACTCTTTTCCTCCCACAGTCCCACCAGGCATTTCCTCCTCTTGGCTGTGCCATATCTTTTGCACAGGCCACATTTTGTGTGAGTCTTTGAGTCACTCAGACTTCTGTGTTCATAAATGTTCGAAGCCCTAAAAAGTATTTGCTGTTTTCATTTTGAAAAGGAATTACTTGGATGGTGAAAAGTAGAAAATGCAACCAACCAGACTGAACTTTGGAGATGTGGAAAAACATCCCTGCAGATTTCGCTGAGAATCTGAAAGTGAGTCTCCGAAAAAGAACAGAAGCTGAGGACACACTAAATTACGGAAGTCCAGAGAGGCCGTGAGGCAGTTATCATTTTCTAGATTGTTATCTTGAGAAAATGAGTTATCTTTTGATTTTAAGATAACAAAAGTTATCTTGAGACAATGAGTTAACTGTCTTGTGATCTCAACATAACAAAGTTGGCATCTTGAGAAAACGAGTTAAATGTCTTGTGATCTCTAGATAGCAAAGTTGGTATCTTGAGATAATGAGTTAACTATATTGTGATCTCAAGATAACAAAAATTGTTATCTTGAGATAACGAGTTAACTGTCTGTCTTGTGATCTCAAGATACCAACTTTGCTATCTTGAGAAAATGAATTAACTATATTGTGATCTCAAGGTAACAAAGTTGTTAACTTCATATCAAAAGATATTTAACTTGTTATCTCGAGATAACAATCCAGAAAATTGTAACAACAGCTCATGGCCTCTCCAGACTGATGATTATGTTTAGTTGTTAAAGCTTCTGTGTAATTTTTTGCTATTTTTGGTACGGAGCCCTGACGGCAACATCCCATATAAATGAAAATAATGCATGGCCATGGCTTAATAAGGCATGGGAACAAGATAATTAAGTTGTGGTCATGACTTAGTAAGGCGTGGGATTGAGATAATTAAGCTTTGAACACAGCTTAATACAACATGATCTTGTTCCCACACCTTACTAAGACGTGGCCATGACTTGATTATCTCGTTCCCACATGTTAATACGGTGTGGCTGCACATTATTTTTATTTATATTGTATGTCACCAGCAGGGCTCTGTGGATTGGCACTGAAAATGAATACAATGCACAGAACTGTATGGTCAGTCGAGGAGTCACACAAAGCCTTTTGCCAAACCAGCAGCAGAAGAAAGCTCCACTGAGCTGTTCCCTGCAGGCTTCCTCGCTCTATATTAGGAAAATTATTTAATATATTGTAAAGTTCTATTGGTTATTATGTTTGTGGTTCGGTGGCATTAAGGCTGGTGTGTATGACCTGCCAGCAGCAGCAGTTTGGGGACGTTGCAGCCCAGGAACAGGTTGGAGATCCCTCTGAACCAGCCGTCCCAGTACTTCTCCGCTTTGGACAGGTCGATCCTCCAGCTGTACACACTGGACGGCTGCAGGAACACACAGTGAGAGTGGTGCTGAAAGGTGGACCCTGTTGACACTGGAAACTGTAGGCCTGCTTATTAAGGCAGTGGGTCAGTTTGATTTCTGTACCATTACAGGTGAGTTTACTCTGCACTGCAGTCATACAGCCCTTTTAGTGTTTGTCAGTTTCTCGCTGCAGATTAAAGGTATCAGGAAACCAGCGGTTAAAGGTAAAGATAAAGACAGTGAGGAGTGCTGTGTCTATGTTCACCTCTGACGCGGTGCTCTCAGCTTTATCAGTGACGTAGTTGAGGTCGTAGAACTCTTCATGTCCTTCAGCCACACTTTCTGTTACAGGACTGACCTGCTCAGCACAGTCCCCATCCTCTACCTCACACCTGAGAGAGAGACCCAGAGATAGAGCACAGAAAGAGAGAGAGAGAGAGAGAGAGAGCAAGCAGTGGTTGACTACACTAAAAGAACAACACTGTAAACTGTATTTGGTTTTTCTCCAAACTATAAAGCAGTTAGATTGATAGATAGACTGTTAGATTACAGTACCTCCTCACTTGGCCCACCATGGACACCTTGGCTGACTCCAGATTCCTGATCTGTCCACTTTTAACACTGAAGAGCAACCAGACAAGGAGACAGTGAGTCAGAGCTCTGATGTTCCTATGATGCAAACAGTTATCCTGACAAACTGTAATACACTACAGGAAGTTTAGGGGGCGACATGGCTTGTGTTGTTTTATTTAACAGGCCCTTTCCTGTTCCAACATGTCTGAGCCCCTGCGCACAAAGTGAGCTCCGTAAAGACACAGTTTCATGAGTTTGGTGTGGAGGAACTCCAGCGGTCAGCACAGAACTCTGACCTCAACCCCACTAAACACCCTTGGTATGAACTGGAATGTCGATTGTGAGCCAGGCCTTCTCGTCCAGCATCATTGCCTGACCTCAAAAGTGGCACACATTCCCACAGACATACTCCAAGATCTTGTGGAGCGCCTCGCCAGAAGAGTGGAGGCTGTTACAGCCACAGAGAGGGACATCTCTATATAGTGTCCATGGTTTTGGAGTGAGATGTCCAACAAGCTCATGTAGGTGTGATGGTCAGGTGTCCGCATACTTTTGGCCATATAGTGTAGCTTGTTGTCGTCATTAATGACGAAAACAACCTAATTGAGACCGCTTTCATGACTACTGCTCAAAGTTCTGGATGATTCAAGGGGAAACAGATGACTTCTGAAGCTCTATTAATAGCAGTGACCTTGTTTAGAGCAGTGGCTGCGTTTGTGACTGTGACCGTATTAATCACCTCCATTCGATGGCGTGGTCGATAGACTTGAAGGATCTGGGTCGTCCTTTCAGGAAGTTCTGCATGCTGTGAAGCACGTCCATGGCACTCCCTGCGGAGACCACACACAATACAGCATGTGCAACATCCCTCACACTTTTTTCAGGTTAATTTTCATTATTCAAACACAGTATAGTGAATGTATGCATAATTAGATGGATAAGATGTAAACAGAATCATTCAGAGTGGTTTGGTGTGAAATGCTCCATTACAGAAACTTACAGATTCAGAATCGTTCATTGTGGTGATAGGAACCAGACGTCTGAAGAGTTTAATGTCTCGAAAAGCTACATCACAGAAAGTTATTACATGAAATGGTAATGAATACACCGACTGATGTCTGAGACGACTTTGGTTTTGCATAGTAAATAATATGACCATATTTGTGTTGTAGACATCACGACTCCTGGTTCCTATCACCACCACTGTAAAGAGTTGGTGAGTGTCTTTACAATGACCCATTTCACATTTCAACTATTGGATTATGCAGAAATTTTGAAAAGTTGGTGAAATCCCCCTTTAATACTGTTTTGTACAGTTCTGCCTCATTAAACACACCTGATTCAACTCATCAGATAATTAGCAAGGCTATTGTGAGCTGAATTCAGTGTGTTAGGCCAGAGAAATGCTTATCTCTGCAGAGCTGTGACCTGGAAGGAACCAAGTTTGAGACCACTGCATTGGATAAAGACTGTTAAATACAACAGTTAAATACAATATTGCTGGGTAAAGTATGACATTCATATGTCATATGATTTTGTGGCACATAAGAGTCTGACTAAAAATGTTTGTGCATTATCATAATGTCACTCTGTTAATCCTTTAAAATCCCAGGCTTACAGCAGTTCTTTAGACTGTTATTACAGAGTTATTACTCACCCTCCACTACATCAATAACCACCAGGCCCACCACAGATGGCAGTAAGCTCCCACTGGCTGCATGCACAGCGATGGCTCCGCCCATACTGTGACCAACCAGGATAATAGGGGGCGGGACCTCACCATACGTGGCTCGCACCACATTGGCTACATCTCTGGAGAAAAGGCAGTGATTGGTTACCAGCACTCATCTGTTGTTGATGTCATTTACACAGTGATACTGAAAAGCTAATAACTTTTATTTATTAACTTTTAATTTTATTTTATTATTTACAGTGATTTGTCCTCGTTCATTACAGAATCCATCAATATGTCTACAGTGATTATGTGTGCGTGTATTACCTGGACATGGTCTGGGTGGAGAGGTCATCAGCATGGCGCACTTGAGTAGCCCCTGTTTGTGATGAACAACAGCCTTCAGTGCCTTCATTTTCTAGCATGCATCACATTTGTTCTTTTCTTTCAAACTCTGTTTACTGTTTACTATAACAGGCAGAATAGCACAGATCTCTGTAAGAAGGATGTATAACAAACAAAACAAGTGCAGAAAGACAAGAGAGTATAATTTACTTAATCTTTGATCTTTGAACTTACCGTGTCCTCGTAGATCCATCGCCAGGACCCTACAGGTGACCCGACTCGTCATGGCCGCCTGTGGAATGTAAAAACAGCTCATTCCATATAACTAACAGGCTGTTCTTAATTTAACTGAGAATTCCATCGATTTTTCAAAATTTCTGCAAAATTCAGCGAGATGTAATCAGTCATTCTGTGTTTTGATGTGAATTTATAAACTCAACTTATAAACCTCTTTACAGTGGTGGTGATAGGAACCAGGCGTCTCAGAATGTAGCCATTTTATTTTTTTGCCACAACCACGTGACTTCTGGGTTTTTATATTGTAGCGTGTTCAGGAAATGTGTTCTTATGTTCATTCTGGGTTGTTGCTCTCCAGCATTTATTTTGACACAAAGACTCTTATTGTGACGGCACAGCTAGGCTTCCTTCGCCGTGTTCATTCATTACAATGGAAGAACTGTGTCAGTCGGAGAGTGCAGACGTGAGCTAATGCTAGAGCGAGCTGTTACCCCAAAGCCTTGCTGTCTGTACAGCTTGGTTGTGGCCAACTACAGCCTTTAATAAACCACAATGAGTTGTGCATAAGCTGTGTGTCTCCTTTCCTAGCGGTAAATGCTACAGTATGTAATGTTAATGATGGTAAAATAGTTAAAATAGAAAAATGCTTTCTTTGGGGACTATTTTGCCTCACAACACCCTGCATGTATCTGTCTGCCATGTATTTACTTGGCCTGCAATGTTTTTGGGCCAAAACCGTCTCTCAAAACTATCATAAAACAATGTCTCAGACATCAGGCAGCAAATTCATAACCGTTTCATTAATAACTGTCTGTGAAGGAGCTTTCAGAGGCATTAAACTCTTCAGACGTCTGGTTCCTATCACCACCACTGTGGCTTGGTAACTTTCTCTAGAATGCAGCATTTCTCACCAGCAAATTTGCATACAGAAGTTAAATGAGTGTGAATGGACAGTAAAGGATATAATGTGAAATGAAAATGTGTTTCTAAGTCTTCATTTTAAGCTGTTGTCAATGCTGAGCTACAGCAGTGCTGAGCTGAGTAAACCTTGTCTGTGAGTATCTGTGTTAGCAGTAGATGACAGGGTGAGTGTTGACCAGTTGAAATAAGCTGTGTATGTAGCGTACAGTAAAAACAGCCCAGGACAGCGCTGAGTGTCCTCCTCCGTGCAGCAGCACCAGCAGTGGCCCGTCCTGCCCGCTCTTATACACACGGAACACGTACACACGTCAAGGAGTCACGCTGCTCAACATACACTAACGGCTAACACACAAAAACTGAGGACAGGAGTGGACAGTGTACATAGCAGAGGTAGCAAGACAATGCACACAGGTCAGAGTCCAGTCTGCAGTCTTTAATAGAGAATTTTAGTTTTTTCTCGTTATTATCTGCAGACACTGTACTGTACAGAAGTGAACCCGCCACTAAAAACCTGTCGGACTTAAAATATCGAGGCTTTATTACAGAACTCTCTGTAATAAAGCTCTACACGCAGTAAATGTTGTGCTAAAAGAAAAGAGACAAAATATCTCAAAATGGTTTGATGGTGTCATAGATATACATACTTAAATGCTGTGTTGTCTGTCGTTCTCTATCTGAGGCGATACGTATGCATGTCCGCCATGTTGGAGCGGTCAAGATCCGCTTGTGAAGAAATTCACTTGTATTGAGAGACGAAGAGTCTCAGGATTAAATCGGCCACGACTTCCTTAATACCCAACCAATTTTCACCAAATTAGTTTTGTTATAATCCTCAGACACAGGTTAGTCTAGGCTGCACTGACCGCTCTTGATAGCTTTTATTTCTTTAATAACTGATCATGCTAATCAGCCATCTGGACCGGCAGAAAAGTATTCAGTCTCCACCTGACATTAAAAAATAAATTATGAAATATAATCACACTCATCAGCAAATCCATCAATGTGTGAATCAAATCTAATCTTAATGCACATAAAAATAAAATAAACCCCCCAAAACACAGTAAGAAGGATGAAACTGAAGTGGACTTCCTATTCGCCAGCTTCTGGTTAGAGTTTTCCTGTTCAGCAAAATTCAAACAAGATGCTGGCTGATGCACCATTTAAGGTGGAGCGGGAAAATTTGAACAAGAAGCTGGCAAATAAGAAGCTAACTTCAGCTTCGTGTAAGGTGCTAACGTTAATCTATGATGAATATCTACACTGATTAATTAATGCCATAACTTACCAAGCTACAAAGCTTTAACCATTATTGTAAATAAATAACTACATAATGTTCAGATCCCCTTTTAAATGAAATAAGCGTAATATAAAACCAGAGGACAAACAATCACATCAGCAGGTTCTCTGTGCCTCACCAACCACACGGCCATATCTACACAAACAATACGCATCACACACTCGAGTGTGGATCACTGCGTTCCCTCCATTATATAATACTATCCCACTTTCTGAGTTCAATACTGAAATAGTGTAATTTTGGACAGTATCTTTCTTAAACTGCCGCTCTGTAATGGTACTGAATACAGTCCAGCAGCGATGCTGACCGCCCTAAAATGGCAGCGCCATTGACGTGCCCGGCTGGACCCAACACAGCCTCTACGTATGTATATCTATGGATGGTGTGTAGTTTATGTAGCATATAAACTAGCTAGCCCAGCACAACTTATCCTACTTGACCCTCAGTAAGTTTTTCAAGCACTGTGAAACTGTAACTCACTAAGACTTCAGCTAGATTAACTTAGTTAAATTAGCTAGTGCGCTAGCTAGCATATGCCCTATCCAAACTACATGCTGGCCAACAGTTACAAGTTGTTTTGTGTCCTATCATACCATGTAGAGCTTCAGTCTCTCCATCAGGCTCAAGGTATTTCTCTTGTTCTCAATCTGAGGCGATACGTATGCATGTCCGCCATGTTGGAGCGGTCAAGATCCGCTTTGCGAACAAATTCACTTGTATTGAGAGACGAAGAGTCTCAGGATTAAATCGTCCACAACTTCCTTAATAACCAACCAATTTTCACCAAATTAGTTTTGTTATAATCCTCAGACACAGGTTAATCTAGGCTGCACTGACCGCTCTCGATAGCTTTTATTTCTTTAATAACTGATCATGCTAATCAGCCATCTGGACCGGCAGAAAAGTTGTTTTGTCTCCTATCACACCTCGTCTACCATGTAGAGCTTCAGTCTCTCCATCAGGCTCAAGGCATTTCTCTTGTTATTATCTGAGGCGATACGTATGCATGTCCGCCATGTTGTCCGCCATATTGGAGCAGACACTGTACTGTACAAAAGTAAACCCACCACTAAAAACCTGTCAGGTTTAGCACAATATCAAATAACAAGGCTTTCATTATAAAACTGAAGGTCTACACACTGTAACTGCTGTGTTGAAAGATAAGAGACGATACAACTTGAAATTTCTAGTTAGTTTGTAGTTTATATAGCATGTTAGCACAAAACTAATCCAACTTAAACCTCAGTAAGTTTTCAGGGATCTGTAACTCACTGAGACTTCAGCTAGATTTACTTCAACTACATTAGCTAATGTGCTAGCTAGCGTATGTGCTATCTAAGATACGTGTTAGCCGACAGTTTGAAGTTTCTTTCCTTTCAAACCATAATTTCTGCATGTAGAGCTACATTCTGTCTATCAGACTGAAGGTTTTTGTCTTCTTATTATCTTCAGACACTGTGCTGTACAAAAGTAAACCCACCCCTAAACACCTTTCAGGTTCCACACGACTTCAAATAAGGAGGCTGTATTACAAACTGAAGCTCTACACACAGTAACTGCTGTGTTGAAAGAGACAAAATAACCTGAAATGGTTTGGTAGTTGGTAGTTTATAAAGCATGTAAGCTAGCTAGCACAATAACTACACACTTAATGATGGTTCTTTAAGGGTTCCTTAGTAAAGAAAATGGTTCTATACTGAACCATGAACACTCAAAGAATCCTTACTATGGTTAAAGGTTTCTTTGCATCATGAAAAGGTTCTTCAGATTGATGGAGAATGTGCAGTAGATGGTTCTATACAGAACCTTTTTGAAAAGGGTTCTACATAGCACCAAAAAGTGCTCTTCTATTGTTACAATGTCAGGCTTGTTAATAGAAGAACCATTTTTGGTGCCTTTTCAAAAAGGTTCTATACAGAAACATCAGCACATTCTCCATCAATCTGAAGAACACTTCCACAATGAAAAGAACCCTGTAATCATGCAAAGGGTTCTTTGAGTGTTCATGGCTCTATATAGAATGATTTACCTTACTAAAGAACCCTTGAAGGACATTTTTAAGTGTGTAATCCAGTAGAAACCTCAGTAAGTTTTAAGATTTCAGCTAGATTAACTTCAGCTAAGTTAGCTAGTGCGCTAGCTAGCATGGGTGCTATCTAAACTATGTGCCAGCCAACGATTTCAAGTTGTGTTGTCTCCTTTCAAACCACATTTACTGCATGCTTCATTCTGACCATCAGGCTGAGGGTTTCTCTGTAAGGAAAGGCCTGTTATTTGAAGCTGTATCGAGCCTGAAGCCACTGTGAGCTGCGAGAGAGCAGCGCTACAGTAATGACAGTAATGAAAGACTGCTAGTGTGACTGCGTCTCTGCCCTGCTGTCATAATCCTGATGATAGAAATACATTATTACTGATTGATAAAAACTGTAGTGATATATGGATCAGTGGGCTGTACTCACTGTAACCCACTCTTTAGAGAACTATACTGTTGCGCAGACACACATTTATAAGCTTCATTACACCGTTTCCAGTTACGCTCCAACCTAACAGCCCATCATCTTATGCCAACACTACAGCCTTGTGTGTGAGTGAAGGATATGTCCTTGCTTTCCGCCGATCCCACCACCACGTCGTCCATCATCTCAAAGTATTCACTCCAGGACACGGGGGAGTAATCCCTCTTTCTGCCCACTCCATGACTGAGAGAGAGAGAGGGAGAGATGACATCCTCAACATTAAGGCTACTAAAACACTGTTTTCCAAACTGCTCCTTAGAATATCTACAGTTTCCTTCATCCCTGTGTGTTGTGAGTTGGGATGGAGCAAAAATGTGGACCGTCTGGAGGCCCTGAGGACATGATTCGGAATTACTGTACTAAAATGTTAGGAGTGAACCTGTTATAGTTTGGTTGCTAGTATCTAGTATCTATCCACATATCTGTCCACATGCAACACTGTGGCTTTCCAAACTACAGCAAGTGTGAATGGACATCTAAACTGGGCATTAGCATCAAAAATATCCTAAAACATGCTGAACCTTACACTTTTCCACAGTTAACACAATTTTCACTGCTAACTTCACTCTTTTACAGGCCTTAGACTTTTAAAATAGTCAGAATCAGACTCAGTCTTACTTCTCAGTGTCGAAGTTCTCCTCCCACATGCTGCTGTCGGTGCGAGCGGCGTCAGAGCGGAGCTGAGAGTCGGACGTACAGCTCTCTGAACCGGAGGCCATCAGACACAGAGCGAGTGAGTGTGAGACTAAAGATGCACACGAGGGGCTACAGGCACTCATACACACACGCTGGTCAGACAGCCACTCGTGTGGAGAGGGTACAGGTGCAGCAGACAGACGGACCAAACTCAGCCTCTGATTGGAGCAGAGACTCTCTCAGAAAACACACAGAGTCAGGTGTTTCTGTGATGTGAGTGTGTGTGTGTGTGTGTGTGTGTGTGTGTGTGTGTTATTAAGGTCATTTCTAGACGTTCTAATACATTCTGGAAAAAAGTACTGTGAAAAAAATGATGGACTGGATTGAATTGATTCGAATGGGCTCATCATTTATTTACAAATAAATATATTACGTATTTCGCTGTCTACATCTTTGGAACACAGCAAACGGCCTTTACATTGTGTGAACATTTCATGATGAATGGACCAATAGAAATGCTCCAAAATGACTGGGAAAAACATTTATTTACATGAACTTACATTAAAAGTTAGGACCGTTTTTGCCTCCTGTAAAGTTACCATTTTGGAGATACTTGGGGTTTTTTTGTTTGTTTGCTTTATTTATTTATTTCTTCACATATTATCACAATGTGTCTTTCATTTTACTTACTTTTGGCTGTAACTGTGATGTCATATATTTTCTTTGTGATAAAATCACGTCCACATTTGAATCACTTGAATTCAGTGCATCATTTATTTACATATACAGAGGTCTCCAAATATGGGAGATCACTAATGAAAATACTTCTATTTTTGCATTTCTTTCTAATTAAATACAATTTCAATATATTTTTAAAATAAATTATATCAGCATGTTTTTTCATAACAATTTGAGTGAAAAATAATTGTTGAAATGTGAACATGAACGTCAGAATTTGGTATTTGTTCCATCTCTTTTGCTTTAATAACAGTGTGCTCTCCAGTTGGCATGGAGTCCATACAGTAGCAGATCAAATCCACCTGACAGTTTTCTGAACACCAGCTTCAATAGAAGAGATAAGACCAAAAAAAACAACATGACCTTTTTGTACACAGGCCTGAACATGATCAGCATCACACATTTGCTTCAGTTTGAATAATAACCTACAAATAGTGCAGAATTTATTTTTAAAATATTAAATTGTTCGGTTTATTTCCAGGTATAAATGAGAAAATCCCAGTTTGTCTCAGCTCCACAGCAGGACTCTGCTCTTTTCCATGGCTGGTGAAGCCAGCTGGAGACACGGGGGTCTACACTGCAGCCCCTCAGGGTTTAAACGCCCAGAGGGTAAATCTGAAAGGGGAGACAGAAGAACTCTGAGTGAGGAACTCTGTAACCTGCTTTACTCACAAAACTGCAGATCAGTGTAATAATGAATACACACATACATAACAAAGCAAATATAGTGAGTTCTAAAAAGTGCCAAATTAGTTTGTTTATAATAGAATAGCTGGTAACACTGACATAACTACACCATCAACACGTCATGGCAGGTTTCATATGCTCGACAGATCTTGTTCAGTATTATAACAGTGTTCAGGTCACCATTTTCAGTAATTGTAACGGCAGATTTTGTAATGTGTGATGTTATAACAGCTTATGTCACATGCTTTTTTCTGTGTACTCCAGTTAGCCATCATGACATCATACATCATAACATCTGTCAGAACAATTACTGGTCATGTCACATGATACTGTCATGTTACTGAACATCTCATGACAGCATATGACATCTGCTGTGACGTGTTTATGGCATTGTTATGTCAATGTTATGTAGCAGAGATCAAGTAAAGTGTTGTTGAATAGTCTCAAATACACAACACACAGGTTTGTACAGAGCTCTTTAGAGCAGGGTGTGTCATCTGAGGCTTACAGCCCTGTTTTTCCTCATGTTTACAGTCATATGCAAAATTACTGTCAGATTACATGTAACGAGTAAAATGACATGTTTTGTTAAATTCAAAGGGGAAAATAAATTAAACTCTTAACGATCCAGGCTTATTATTCAGTAGCTACAGGGATTTCAATGCGAACTAATGGAGCTTTTCTTAAGTTAAAGAAGTGTGGCTTGTTAATGAATCTTCTACAAATGAATGTAAGGAATTTTACTGCTAATTTTAATGTGCAATTCTTTATTTCTATTTATTGTATAAACTTAAAACATCAGTGCCATAAATTTTGCACAGGCCACATTTTATGTTTTATGTATTTTCCAATATGTTGAATTCAGCAAATTAACAGTAATTGTGCATGAAACCGGGGGCACCTTTATTTTTGCACACAGCTGCATTCATACATATTTATAAGAAGCCAATTTAGTGTTGTTTTCAACCCCACTTTGAAAAGTCTGCACTGAAAAAAGTGCTTTGTTGAATTACACGTGACTCAAATGTGTTCATTTAAACACATTAAACTGCATCATCACAGTGCCTGTCAGTTTACCTGTGTTTGGTCATCAGTGTGTTGATGTGACGGAGTGCACACATTTGAATGGAGTTGATTCAGCGCTTTGCTTTCCTCCACTGGGGCTCCGTTCCCAGCCTCTCTTTACTGCTCAGGTGCTGATGATGGTAATGACTGGTTGCCAGGCAACGTAGATCGCATGACTGGGCTGTGAACAAACGTACAGATGCTGGTGATGGTAATGACTGGATGCCTGGCAACCCACATTGCATGGCTGTACTGTAAAAAATTACAGGTGCTAGTGACAACAGTGACTGGTTGCCTGGCAGCCAGGGATACAGGGCAGGTGCTAGGCACCGTGACGACTGGTCGCCTGGCAACACGGATGACATGACTGGACTGTAAACAGTTTACAGGTTCTGGTGAGACAGTGATGGTTGGTGAGCAACTCAGATGGCAGCGACAGTGCTGTTAAAATCTTACAGGTGATGGCCGCAGCTGGTTGCCTGGCAACCAAAACCAACTACAGGGGTGGTAAGAGCAATGAGTGGTTGCCTGGCAACCTGTTGACCTGGACTGGATGACTGTACAGGCTTTTCACTACAAGCCTGCAGTCTAACAGAATGAAACTTAACTGAAATAATCAAAGCATCCTCAGTATTAAAGCAGCGCCATAGAAATAGTGCATGTTAGGGTTAGTTAAAGGGGAACTTCACCAATATTTCAAAATTTCTCTGTAGTTAAATCATAAAGATTAAAGTCAGTCTGAGCGGTTTGATGTGAAATGCCCCATGTCTGTTCACAGCGGTGCTGATAGGAACAAGACATCTGAATTTGAAAAACTGGTGGATTTCCCCTTTGAGTGCAAAAACCTCTGAACACCCTTTATAATTATGCTGATTTTAATTCATTGCTGGTCGTCTTGGAAAAAGCAATTAGCAATGCAGTTAAATCAACATCACTGTAAAAGGTGTTTAGAGGTTTTTGGACTTAAAGGGGAACTCCACCAGTTTTTCAAAATTTCTGTATATTGTAAACTGTGTGCTGGAAGCCTCTCTCGTGCTCTGCCGTCATCATCTGGCTCAACGGAAAACTAAAGCACGAGTGAAACCCCAAGTAGCTCTCACTGGGACAGGCAGGCGCGAGTCACGTGACGCATCTCATGCTTTCTCACGCGAGCGCGCGTCGTTCCGCCTCATCCCGTCATCCTCCTCCAGCCAGCCGTGCAGCTCCGGTGCTGAAAGCGCAGCAGAGCAGAGAGCTGCAGCCATGAGATCAGCACCAGCATCACACACTGCAGACACAGCTGCTCAGGTAGGACTGCACGAGCTCCGGAGATCAATACAGCTGATATGCACGCGCTGGCTCTTCTGTTTTTTTGCTGGACAATCGAGTGAAGGTGGTTAATATCTCAGTCTAATTCTCAACCCATCATGGGTGTAAATAATGATTAGAGGCTCTACTGTTAGTGATGTTACTGCCTGAGTTAAGGGGAGCACCTTAAACTTGATCAGAGTGTATGCTGCATGCCAGTTAAAGGGGAATTTCACCCATTTTTAAAAATTGCACAATTCAGTCTTTCATGTGAACAAAGTCATTTCAGAGTGGTTTGATATGAAACCATTGTGGAAAAAGCTACCGACTCATTTACAATCATAGTGATAGGAACCAGGGGTCGCAATGTTTGCAACACAAATGTAGCCCTTTTTTTGCTATACAAAACCACCAGTGAACCTGCGTGTCTTAGTTAGTTTTATATGTAATGTTGATAATGGTGAAATAGTGGAGAAAATAATTTTCTGGAGAAAATGAGTTTTCTTTGGGGACTATATTGCCTCACAATGCCCTGCATGTACCTTTCCGCCATATACGTTTTTAAAAAATACATTTTTAAATGAAAAGCTTATATCAAAACTATCGTCTCAGGCTTCTGTGAGGGAGTTTTTAAAGATATTAAACTCTTCGGACATCTGGTTCCTATCACCACCACTGTGAAGAACTCTGACTCTAAGTTTCTCTAGAACGGAGCATTTCACACCAAACCACTCTGAATGATTTTGTTTTATTAATTTATGCAGAAATTCTTGAAAAATCCCTGTTAATGAATGATGGAGGTAGTGAGATTATCCCACTGAGGTAATTATCAGCTTACAGGAGCTGAGAACGTGTATTGGAGTGGGAAAAACACAGATACAGTTACATGACGTTCCCAGGGCTGAGAGAAAGAAGTGCTGCTCTAAATATTTTACATCTCTTCATAACAATGTAGTCAAATAGCTTGCAGTGTGGTGATGCATGTAATTCAGTGTCTAAGATTTGTATGTCAATATTTAATTACAGCAGAGATGATTTATAATAGTGCAAAAACCTCATATCTTCTAAGGGAAACTTTGGGAAAAGACATTCGAGCCTTTAATGCATATAAATGTATGTTTTTGTTCCAAGTAATTTTGGGCCATTCGTGATAAAATATTCACATGATGTAAAAAGTACAAACAACCCAAAAAAAAAACTGGATTTTTTATGACTGCAGTGAAACGCAGAGACTGTTAGTTTGGATTATGATGTTACACTCGCTTTAAAATCTTCTAAAACATTTGTTGTTTGTATTTCTTTTGTCTCTGTCGCAGCGTGACTATCACATCACTGACTACAGTCACTGCTTCTGAATATGACCTCATCAAAACCAGCCAATCACCTTCATTTCTCTGCAAACAGCTCGTTCCAACAACAGTAATTGGTTAGATGGAGTCACGCCAAGGGTACCCACATTCCCCTAGGTACAACAAGCCCAAAGCTTGTTGGGAGACTGAGTCCAAATCCACAAACCAGCATAAAGAGGACACCACAGCTCCGAGCAGAGGACATGGAAATGGGCCAGTACCATCTGAAGGGAGAGGAACATCCAAAGCTGCCCCGATTCAACCAAAAACACTAACCACACCAAGCTCTTCAACGCCTTTAGCTTCTTCGCCAACCACATCAAAAATGCTCCTTGTCCAAGCATCTGCAGCTAAACAGATTACGACAGTCTCTTCACCAGTCACTGCCAAACATGCTGTCGGGACCCCTGAGGGTTTGACTCTGCCCCTCCAGACCACAGTAACGACAGGAAACAGGCTGAAGTCCCCGAGCAGCAGCAGAACAGGAGAACTGAAGGCCTCTGCTAGAAGCTCTCCCAAAAATCTCCACAAAACCACCTCAGCATCTCAGATCAGTGCGTCTGCAAACTCTCCAAAGAACCTGCAAAAAACAGCTTTGGCTGCTGCGATAACAAGCCCAGACTTGCCAAAGAGCGTCCATCGAGCAGCTCTCTCTCAAATCCCCAGGGCCACATCCAGCCCCAAGCTCAGGCCCAGTTCTGCTGCATTGCTCACAGTGGACAAAACTGACACTTGCAAGAAAGGGGGCAGCAGAGAGGGGGTGCATTCGCTCTCACCAAAACTGAGAACACAAACAGTGGCAATCAGTCCACAGGTAGAAAGCATGCTGCAACCAGGTACAGAACACAGCAAGGAGAAAAGCCCTCAGAGGCATAGCGAGGAAAAGAAGGGGAGTGGAGAGATGAAAGGAGGAGAAGACGTCCTTCAGGACATCCAGGAGGGACAAATCCCCAAAAGAAGTGACCTCACGCTGCAGGTGGCATCTAAATGTCCCGTCTCTCCACAAGACAAGAAGCAATTATCACCAGCGGCGACGACCGCCTCTGCAGCACAGTCGAAGGAGATGGCAGGCAAGGTGGAAACAAATGTCATGACCCAAGAGAGAGAGTGTGTCACAGAGAAAAGGAAGAGGGAGGAGAGAGAGAAGGAAGAGCGAGAGAAGGAGAGACTAAGGGAAAAGATGAAGGAGAAGAGAGACGAGGAAAGGAGAAGAGAGGAACAAGCAAAGGAGGAAAGTAGGAAAGAGAAAGAGAAGGAAGAGAGGAAGAGGAAAGAGAGTGCAAGAGAACAGGA